TTCCCTAACGATCCCGCTTCTGGTAACAACCACCACTGGCTGGGAGCCCAAGCTGCTACAGAATTACTATCAAGCCTGTGGTCCTGCTTGCAAGCTCACACCCAGCCTGGGAATTACTATTTTAAAGTTCCCCTCTTCATAATATCTGTGCTGAGAAAGTAAAGCACAACTTCAAATGACTTGGCCAGAATAACAAGAGGGAAAAAAAAAAGAAAAAAAAAAGAAACACAAGGAAATATTTGAACCTGATCTTTTAAATCCCAGTTTAAAATCCCAGGCAAAGTGGCAAAGCCAGGCTTAATAAAAATAGGAAGAGATGCAGAGGAAAAGGAAGTTATAGCAGACAGCATAGTCACGGACCAGTAAACTCAGTTTCACAGGAAAAAACATCTCAGAGGTATTAACTGGACAAACTGAATTGAGTTTCTGAGCCCTTATGATTTATAGACATACATTAGAGTAGTGAGAACCCATTTCTACCACTGTATGGGACTGAAGCTTGGCTTACAGGATTTTTCTCTTGAAAAATACTTCAACTCAAGCAGTTTGAGTCCAAATAGAAGCATCTGACCTCGTGCCCTAAAACATGCCATGTTGCATATTACCAGTCCCCTGTGTGCTGCCAGCAAACGCTTATCGCAAAACAGCTGCGGTAGCTTGGCCATGAGGCAACTCATGGGCTAGCACTGGCCAACTTTTACTTACTTGGCTTCCAGAGAACAGCCCACATTAGTGCAGCAAATGGGAGAACAAGGACACCCAGGTACAGGGACCCACAACACCCCAGGACACTAGGAAAGGCACAGAAATGAGTTTGCCTGAATCCTGCCACTTTAACCTCTTTTACCCATCCAAACTCACGCAAGATTGACCTTCAATGGGAAGAGCCTGCTCTCGACATTTCCCTCTCACTACCCGCTGTTTCAGCCTTTGAAAAGCAAAAAGTGTGGGGTGACGTGCAGAGGAGAGCCCCCGTAATCAACAACATGGAGTGGAAGGAGCCCACTTCAGTGAATGCACAGAACAAAGCACCTCCAGCACAGCGTTGGGGGGAAAGCTCTCATACCTCTTCTGAGAGACCAGCACAACCAGGTGCCCCTCCAGTGGGGGAAAAAGCAGGAGGAATTCAGAGGTCTGTGGGCAGTTGCAGGGCTACAAACTTGCTGAGCTACAAACTCGCTGGGATGACGGAGATGCTGTGGGATAGAATCATAGAATCGTTTAGGTTGGAAAAAGCCCTTTCAGATCCCACAGTCCAACCGCTCCCCTACCCCTGCCATCCCACCCCCAAACCCTGGCCCTCAGCACCTCGGCTGCCCGGCTGTTAAATCCCCCCAGGGCTGGGGACTCGACCTTCCCTGGGCAGCCCCTCCCAGTGCCTGACAGCCCCAAGGGGAAGGAATTGTTCCCCATGGCCACTCCTCTGCTCCAGGCTGAACCCCCCCAGCTCCCCCAGCCGCTCCCCAGCAGCCTGGGGCTCCAGACCCCTCCCCAGCTCCGCTGCCCTTCTCTGGACACGCTCCAGCCCCCCCAGGTCCTTCGGGGAGGGAGGGGCCCAACCCTGACCCCAGCAGTCGAGGGGCGGCCCCCCCAGTGCCCAGCACAGGGGCACGGTCCCTGCCCTGCTCCTGCTGGCCACACCACTCCTGATACGAGCCCGGAGGGCTGCCATGGATGGATACAGCCTCTTCAGGAAGGACAAGCTGGGACAGTGAGGAGGAAGAGGAGTTGTCCTCTGTGTGAGACTGCAGCAGGAACACACAGAGCACAATGATGGCTGGGGTGGATGATGAGCCCGCAGAAAGCCTGCAGGTCAGTGTTTGCAGGCTGACACACACAGGCAATGGTGTGGTGGCTGCCCACCTGCACAGAACTACGTAATGAAGAAGCCCTTTGCTTCCAGAGCAAATGGTACCAACTCCCATCACCCCAATGCCCCAGCCCCCATGGGACGCTGTAGAGTGAGCCTGTGTGGGAAGACCTGTCTGAGCATTTCATGCACCCACCTTGCTGCTCGGACTTCTGGTTTTCCATTCCACTGACTTAAGTTAATGTCACATTCAGCTGTTGCATCCATTTCCCTATTTGTCCTTATTTTTTTAGTAAATACTTAAGCTGCAGTCCACAGGCAACAGTCCATCCCCATGCAACAACTGCTGTGCGACTCAAACACTCCAAAAGCCCGAGATGCTCATTCTCCGACCAAACCACACAAATTACCCAAAAGGCAGAGTCGTTACTAAGCAGCTGACATCCCAATTTCATCTCTTTCCACTGCAATCTGCAGTGCTAAAACCAACAGAAATCTCACTTTTCCTCCGGGATTACCTGGTTACATTTATGATGTGAAAACAACCAGGCTTTCAGAAGTAAGGAATCCTTTCTAACATGAACATAACTGACTGCTCCCCTCCCAGACACTGGGGATCCAGAAAATCTGTCTGGATTTAAGTCACCTGACCTAAAAATAACTTGGCTGGAAGTGACGTGCAATATAGATGCAGACTCACTAATATTTAGAAAAAAGTAAAAACCAAAGTTCCTTAGTTCAAATTTTAATCTGTGTTTGCAGAAGTGGGAGAAGATTGTAGCCATGCCTTTCAACTACAGATTTCTGTGGGATAGCAAAAAAAAAAAAGTCAAAATTTAAGATACTGTTTCCAAATACAGTGACTTCACAAGTCTCCAAACACACACTCACATAAGTTTTAGAGGTACCGTGGTTAAGAAAGTCAAAACCTCTTTAATATGCAATCCTCCACTCACTTTGAACTGGCCTGAGTGACAACACATTGGAAAATAAAAAAAGGCACAAAGCAAAAACTTAAGATGCTACAGGATGAGCTTTCCTGTCTAGCAATTTGTACATCTATCCCCATATATCCTCCTCTGAGATGTGCACCATACACAAGAAGATAGTCAAGTGTTTTCAGTCAACAAAAACTAAGCAATTCCACAGGCCTACAAATCAAAAGATACAAAACCTTAAAGAGGAGAAAACTTGCCAGTGTGCAGCTCCCATTCACATTTCTAACTTAAAGTGGAACTCTGAAAGGTAAAAATTACTTGTGCAATAACAATGTTAAATGTAAACCAGAGTAATCAACATTGCATGATTCTGCAAGCTCAGTGCTGCTATCGTATGCTGTCCAAATAATGCACTTCTGGGTACAGTGTGTTAATAAGGAGAGCCAAGAGATTATTGCCATCTCGAAGACAATGTTCTGGATGCTTGATGAACTGAGAGGCCTGGGAGAGCTGCTCTTGGTAATCCACATATTGTTTGTTTGATGCCATAGATTCAAGAGCATTCAGTGCCTATAGACACAAGGGAAAATTCTGTTAGCGGTGTGTACTTCAGTCCATAACAAACCAGTTCACGAGCCACCATATGCACAATTCCACTAGAAGATCCTTATCTGCTAGAGAACCCGAAGTATTTGGAACAAAACATTTGTAAAATACAATCACATAACAGTGCTTCAAGTCAACTCATGTTTTTCAAGCTATTCTCTCCCAAAGATCAACTGCTCTATCAAGGCTTGCTAGAATTCTATAACCCAAATATTGTCAAATAATTGTTCTTCATGAACTCAAGACACTGTTTCAAGGAAATTACACTGACCTACAAACTGCAACACACTTAACTATCCATTTCAGGTTGTTCTTATGAACATCTTGACTTTCATAAAAGTATTATTTTGCTCCCATTAATAATATTACAGAGACAATGTCAAATTAGAAACTATATGTAAAAGAGCCTATGCTGGCAGTACCAGCCAGGGCAAATGCCGGAAATATGTCTGAACAAGTTTAATTTGCTTCTCAGAGAAGAGAAACGAGTTGTACCAAGTAAGTTACTTTGCTTTGGTTTCTAACCAGCTCCTCCTTCCTCTTCTCTTCCACTTACTGAAACAATAACACAGTCAGTGCACATGCTAAAGAAGGAATGTTTATTTGTCATAGGGCTTTTAAGCCCTGATCTCACATAAACAAATATTGGTGTGAACATTGTCCTGCTTTATCACTGAAAAGCAGGGCAATCGCTGCAGCATTGTTTTTCCCTATTTGTTTTAAATTCCTTCTACCTGTTATGTTCCAAAGTTTCAGAACTCAGGGTTTACAGACGTAAATTCATCTGCACCTGCTCAGAGTATAAGATTAGAAACTGATGCCTTCATATTAACAGAGAATGCTGTATACATAGTTTTACTTAGGATCACTTTAGGTTAGGACTCAGACACACAGCCCTGCTACCAGAGTTTAACAAATGTGCATTGTCACCAGGCCTATGCTGCACTTGGCCTACTCCCTGGCGAATTCCAAGATGTTGTTTTGATGTATAGCAAAACAGTACACAAGTTTGAGATACACCCCCTTCCCTGAGGAGATGAATGAGAACAACAACCTACTTATGAAATTCAGAATTTAGAGCCAGGTGGTAAAGCAGCAGCAACAAAAAGATTGAGGGCATTCAGCACCAAATAAAATCAACAAGTTGAGAGTAGGATTTAGCCTGAAGCAATGCTTGCAGTGATTCTTATAAGCCTCAGCCCACAAACTGAGCAAGCACGCAACAAGGACAGATCCAGAAGCCAGCAATTGGCACACTGTACCTGCTGGGCCTTCTGCGACAGCTTTGGCTCTGACCCCGCTTTCAGGCGGACTTGACTCTCTGCAGGAATCTGCACCAAGAGGAAGGCAGACAAACTGCGGGCAACCACCCGAAACCTTGCATAGAGAAAAGCACAGAGAGAGAAGGTGGTATCAAAAATGCAAGTCCTCAACAGCAGATAAACTAGAAGTTCTATCCCATGAGGTATCTCTTGCACGAGGAACATAGTAAAAGCTTTACAGGACCTTTTTCAACACTTTAGAAAAAATTAATCACTTCAATAAATACATAACAGTATATCGTACATACTAGAGGATAAGATACTACCATACATATGAAATGTTACATCCGTTCCAAGCTTAGCTGCAGCCTCGAGGCCACATATGAAATACTCCTCCGTTTCACAGCCTTTGAAACATCCATGCCAGCCAAATCAAGGGAGGAGTTGAAAAAGACTAAGATTTCAGAACAATTTTAACAGGCTTGAATCCCAAGTGGTTTTCAGAGTTATGTTTAGGTACTGTGTTGAACTGGTGGTCCACAAACATTTACATATTTTTTTCTTGGCATTCTTTCAATAGTGAACTTGATTTTAACACCTAACAACCAAACTTGGTGTCTCTCTTTAGAAGGTAAAGTGAATGACAAGCAAGCACATATTTTTTTGACCTCCTCTTAATGTTTCCAACACCTTGAGGTTAAGATGGAAAAGGAAATGTGCATGCGATCATACAAAATTCTTGTCAGGTCAGCTGAAAGAGTCTTCAACAGACCAGGTAAAAGCATTTTCTTCTAACAGTCAGTCTCCATACAGACTTCACTGGAGATGGACATTAAGCCAGAATCACAACTGCATTCTCTTTCCTTTTCCAAACGCAAACTTTGCAGAAGTTCATATTCCCCTCTTAACCAGATTAAAACACTGACTACGTTTTTTTTCTGTCACAGACCCAAACAAATGTGTAGATTTAGGAACAGCATGGATTCAGAACATCTTTTGACATTGCACTCTGCCATCTGGATCCAGGTTGAAGCTTTTTTAATATGACTCCTCATATTAAATCAACTGATTCACTGTACCTTCAAGCCCTTACCTGGGTGACAAAGGAGACCTCCTGCCTAGCCCAATAGCACCAAGTATTCCAGAAGTCAGTCTCTCCTCAGCCAGCTGACTCTGCCTGCTCTGGATTGAGAGCAGTGTCCGAATCACAGATTCAATCAGAATGGTATCATCTTGCTCCATCTGAATCAAGGATAACTGCATGGCTTTATGCCACCAAAGAAACAGCTTTGCCTCTTCCTTTGCTGAGCTTTAGGTAAGATTTAAAGAATAAAAACAAAATATAAATTTAAAAAAAAGTCAGATGCATAGGTTGAGAAGTTTGTATCTCTCCCTATTAGGCCCATGAAGAATTCAGATGATTAATTGACGACAGCTAATCTTGCTGTATGAGGATAGCGTAATTATACCACCCCATTATTATACTGCTGTAACTGCTATTGTTATGGATTTGATGCAGACACCAGCTAGCAGGTTTTAAGGGCCTGTAAGAGGACAAAGAACAATGCTTCCTTTTAAGCTTTACAACTAAGAACAAATGCTATTGCAGCCATAAGTGGATTTAAACTTGTCTAAGACTCTGTATAAAAGGCCATCTCTACTGTATCTCTACTTTTTTTTCCCCCCCCTTTTCTTACCAGAAAACACTTTAGGAAGCACTAGCTGTTGTTTCCACAACAATTTAGACTTTTAATATGATCTTCTAGAAAAGGAAACATTAAAGTTTTTTGCTGAGCAAAACACAAAGTGAAGTTCCCCGTATGGTATTTTTAATCCTTCCTGAAACAGTTTGCAGTTTAAGTAAACAAGCTCAGATTTTCCACATAAAGCATCAGCACGAGTTTCCTGCATCAGACCATCCTCACATCACTCCCAGTCATTTCCCATCCCAGGCCCCCTCAGCTTTGATGTTTAGAGCAATATTTAATTTACTGTGTACGGTGGCTTTGCTGTCTCCTTTATACTTTTGCAATCAAATTACTATGGCGCCTACAAAAGTGAAAGCATTCTTTCAATTTCAAGAAATAGGGGGGAACACACATTTTCCCAAAATGTTCTTTCCCAGCAAACAAGAGCACTATCAACATTAACATGGAAAAATATTCACCAAGTTTGCTAAAGCAGCACCTGTAACAGTGGTTACATACTTTAAGTACAAAATATTATCATTTTAACCCCAGAACTATCCATCCTTTCCCACCAGAACTCTGTTATCTATTAAGTTGTTTTACAGCAACAGAGGCCACTAACTCTGGGCACCCCACCAGATCCACAGGGTTCAGATTTGGTTCAGAGCTGCTGACAGTCCCCGCTGAGTAGCTTTGAACACCAAGCCTCTCAGGAACATCAAGATGAGTATTTAGCACATAACTCATCCCACCTAGTGGACATTCTGGAAAGTGGAACCCACAGTGATTTAGGGTTTGCTTTAAGTAATTTTAACTGAGCACAAATCCAGGCTGCCATTGAAATCAAGCTTCTCAAACTGAAAACTGACCAAAAGTGCACCAGAAGTGTTCAGGTATATGAAATTCCCTCTTCTGTTTAACCACAACAACTATTGGTATTGGCACTGGGGCTGGGCAGACTCTGTAGTAGCGGATATAGAAGGACAGGCAGTTTCATCCATCAGCCTGGTGAAATTAACCTGGCCACCTAATTATACTGGTTATAGCCTTATTTAAAAGCCAAAGCATATTCAGAAGCCTTGAATTTTGTACCTTGGGTACACTTGCTCCAGCCATTTGCTGATGGTTAGCAGGATCTTCATTTCATTGGTAACAGTTTGGTCAGTGTTTAGGCATTGCAGCAGGTAGACATACAGGGTCAAGTAGCTTCCTAAAGACAGACACTCCTGCAGGAATTCTTCCATGGTCAGCTCAGGAACTTGGAGGGAGGCGAGTATAGGGCCCCAGCCTAAATCTTCGTGGCGAGGATAATCTATAAAGAAAACAAAAGGACAGAACAAAGTGTGTGAGAAAGCAGCACTCAGTAAAACCTAAAAATTAGAACTAGTTTTCACCTTGTTCCTGCAAGTTACAGAATTTGGGCTGGTTTAGCTGTTTTCCAGGTAATCGGCTTGTCATGCAACTCTGACGGAGAGAAAAGAAAAACTCCACTATCATAGGGCACCTCCTTGAGGTCAAGGTAAGATATTTTCCCAGCACTCAGTCAGGATTAAATTGGAAAATTTTAGCAATGGAATTCTAAATATTTCCTTCGGGTGTACTGAAATCTGATCACACAAAAGGTGGAAGAACTCAAAATGTAGTTCCACAAGGATTATGTAAACAGAAAGGAAAACAAACAAACAAAAAAACCACCTCACAACAAAAAAAACCCCACACAACAAAATTTCAGAGATAGAGTATTTTTTTCTTAAATTAGCCTACAGAACACTAGAGAAGGGGACAAAGACCTGTTTTGTTCTCTTGGGATAATTCTTTTTTTAAAAGTCCCCCCCCTTTAGCTGGAAAGGTGGCAACCATTACACAGAGCAAATCAGTTTTCCAGAGGCAGGTGTAGTTCTTGAGAAAATACAGAATCAGAGCAGCTGAAAAACCCAAGCTGCAGTGGCCTAACTTTTCTACATATAGTTACTACAGCATATATACATGTGACAGTTGGGAACCATCAGATACAAAGAAAGGTCCCTTCCAACCCAAAACATTCTATGATTCTATGAAAGGAGCTCTTCTTATGGAAACCAGATTAAAACCCAGTTCCAGTACTGGGCAGCATGAAGCCGTAAGGATTCTAAATGATTTGTATTTAACGGGCATCCAAGACTGATCGAAGTTTTTGAGAAGCAGCCACAGAAGACAGGCTCCTACCTTCATTGAAGTAAGCAGTGATACACGCTTCTGTCGTCTCTGCCATGTGTCGCACAGAGGCCAGGCTCTGACACGCCGCAGTGAGAAGGGGCATCGCTAGCAACCCATGCACTTTGCTGTCAATCCACTTTCGTAAGCTCCCCCGTAGCGACTCAGCTGTTGCAACGCTAGAGTTGTTCATCATCATCAGCGTTTCTGTGAAGAGGCTGCTGAGGGCCATATGACGTGTCTGCAGATCCATATCTGAAAGTCAGAAATGAAAGAACCATTTCAGTAAATAGACAGTAGAACCCAAATTCAGCTTCATCCCTGAACCCTTTCTGTAGATACCAGGAAAAGTCTCTTGCTTATTGCACATCTCGGTTCCTTGTCTGTACCTGTGAAACTGCAGTAAGACACCCCTTCCTCCCAGTCTCTTCCATTGATGAGATAGTTCATCATTCATTAAGCAGAGAGACAACTGATAAGACTGTACAGCAGAGTACATTGGAGCCCATCTTTCACCTAGGGCCTTTTACTGTGACTACAGTGCAAATAAATTGAATAATGAAACAGGTTTGTAGTCTTCAAGAAAACTTGGGTATTAAAACCACAGTTTAAAGCACAGCTTAGAGTGAAACAACCAAGATTTTAGATGATTCAAATTTGAAATATGACAGAGATGAACCATGAAACGTTGCAATCCCCTCATGTGTTTCCAGGACTCTAGATTTTCTGCTAATGCCAGCGTTCAGCCCCAGAATGTTTTTTGAAACCACGTCTTACCATTGCCTGAACGTGTTATCATGGGCCTTTAACAGTAACCTCGAAGCACAAACATTTCCTGCTCTCGGCTCTTAGAAGTTTAACTACAGAGAAGAACTTTGCACATATTCATGAAAAAAAGCCACCATGGTTGTAAAAGAAAATTTTCAAGCAACATCAGGCATTGTAGGAGGAAAAAATAAAACTGCTCATGAAGAAAAGTTGTGCACAAAGAGAGATTAATCACTGGAAAAACATCACCCAAAGAGGCTGAGACCTCCATACTTGCAGTTATTTGGAAGCTCACTGGACAAGACCCTGAACAACCGAATTTAACTTCGAAGCTGGTTTGAGTAGGAGGTTCGACTACAGATCTCCAGAAGTTCCTTCCAAACTAAACTAATCTGTCTGTATCATCTACCTACTACAGTTGAGCAACACGGAGCATTTTCTCTTCCAACCCTTTAACGCATACAAGCATGCACAGGGGTTCATGAAACAGAGCTGCTCCTCTTATACTGGAGCTCCCATCTCCTCCAAAATTTCTCAGCTACAAGGATTGTCACCAGCAACAGGCAAGCCCTGACTTCTCTTCAAGTCAAAGAGTTTTACTGACTATGGGGCTTTCCTACAGAGCTTCCCCCAGAAGCAATACAAGTACTGAGGCTGTTAGCACTCTCACAGATTTTCAGACACTTTCTGTTCACTCTCGCTAGCACACGTATGTGGGTCATGGACAGGAAGAGACACAACACCCGACAAGTATTTCTGTCTAGTACAGTGAGACGACTGATTTCCTGTGAAATTTTAGTTTGATAGAGGAAGCTCAGGATGGTACCAGTACTAAAACTGAGATCAGTATAAATGCTGTGGGTGTGGGCACACCATATTACAAGTGCACATCAGTATCATTCCGCTACTTGAATGTAGTCAGTTTTCCCAACATGCACAACATTTAGAAGCCCCTCAGGACCAAAAGAGTGTATTTGTGTCATTCTTCCTTTTAAGAGATAGAAATGCCGAATAAAATAAAAAAGATTAAAAAACTAGACAACAAAGAGAAGAATCCCTCAAGCTCCTGTGTATCAGTTATTTTTACTCACAATATAACCCATTTTCTTTGTTGGCTCAGTCATTCTTGACCGCTCTACAGGGTAACGTTCATATTTTTGTTTTGTGCTAATACACTGCCTATATTTACATCATCAAAGCAACGTGCCCTGCTGCCCATAAAGGAGACATTATAGTAATGAAAGTCATTACATAGTCACAGATGTTCAACAATCCATGCAGTAGCATAAAGGATCTTGACAGCTTTAAACTAATTTCCCACTACTTTAACACAAACCTGGAGGATTAAAGATGACTACATCATCCAGCAACTTGGACATTTCTTGTTCCAAAACTGCAAGAGTAATCTTTCCGCTTTGTTCTAAGGTGCTGAGAAATTGAACCACCTGGCGAATGTATGCTTGGCACTTCAGTGTTGCATCCTGTTAATCAAAATTAAAATAAATTAGAAAAAAAAAAATCATGCCTAGAACTCTTTCCACAGCCGATAACATACAAAAGGAGAACACTGCAAATGACAGGAACAGCTCAGAGACACTGCAAAACCAGTTCAACTTACAAGGTGGATGTGACTATCCGAAGATGCACCGAAGCCTGCTGAGATTTTCAGGAGCTTCACTATCAGTTCGGCTGCAGCATCCTTCGCAAGGATAACAGAAGGAGGGTAGTGACTGCTGCAGTAGCTGATGATGCTTTGATAAGATGAAATGCCCACCAGCTGCCAAGGAAGGGAGCTGGTCTGTCCAAGAAGATTTATGAGTGGCGATTCCTGAAGATTTAAAGACATTGGTCTAAGTCCCACCTTCTTTGCTGTTTTAAATTAATATTCACAGTACTCAACATGGAAAGGAAGCCCAAACTCCAAAATAGGAAGGAGACAGGACCAAAAACCCCACAGAAATAGATGGCCACTGGGAGTCTGGCTGAAAAGCAACTCCTCATTCAAGCAGCAAGCCAACAGACGTATGTCATCTCTAGCGTTCACATAACAGTACTCAGACTACTGCTGCAGCAGCTCTAACCAAGCACAAAAGTCAGGGAGAGACATTAAAATTTGACTTGTAAACATGTAAAGACAGCTAGAAAGAAATAGAGACCCTACAAGGTAAAGTCACTTCGGTAGAGATTTAGAATCATAGAATCCCTTTGGTTGGAAAAGACCCTTAAGATCATCAAGTCCAACCTTTAACCTAACCCTGCCATCCCACCACTAAACCCTGGCCCTAAGCACCTCATCTATCCTTCTTTTAAATACCTCCAGGGATGGGGACTCGACCACCTCCCTGGGCAGCCCATTCCAGAGCCTGACAACCCTTTCGGTGAAGAAATTTTTCCTAATGTCCAACCTAACCCTCCCCTGGCGCAGCTTCAAACCATTCGCCCTCATCCTGTTATCTCTTACCAGGGAGCAGAGGCCGACCCCCACCTCCCTACAGCCTCCTCTCAGGCAGTTGTAGAGGGCGATCAGGTCTCCCCTCAGCCTCCTCTTCTCCAGACTAAACACCCCCAGCTCCCTCAGCCGCTCCTCGTAAACCTTGGGCTCTAGACCCCTCTTTTTTATTATTATGTGGAAGGTATAATCTCTGAACTAATGACATGGTGGAATTCATGAACAATTATGATCATGCGTTATAAACAGAGCTGATTAGAATCCACACATGCCTGGGTTTTAGAAAGACTCTTTTGACTCAGCTTTGTGTTGCTAAGGTAGGACCATGAAGCTCTCATTTCTTATTCATTGTATGAGCATAGCCTTACCTCAGAGGAAATGATGTTAAGAAAAGGCATTTAAAAAAAGCTATTAAAACAAAAATTAATCTAGGTTCACAGTAGAATCAGGGACAGAAGCCGGGCCCCCCAGTTTTCCATTCAGTGAATCATCTACCAACCAGGGAGGAATCCTTGTTCTCATAAACACCATCCTGAACAGTACAGCAGGCTACAGTGTCCACAACTCGCACAGGCAGTGCAAGTATGCAGATGGAAAAGTCTCTGTCTACAAGCGGCAGAGAGTGGAGCCTCAGCTACCGCCATCCTCCTCTCACAGGTTCGTATACATCTGCAATACAAAAGGGCACCCCTGGACACTGAGAAGCACCAAATTTCTACACATTATAGGATGAACAAATACTGGAATTGTGTTGATGGCCAGCACCACCTACAGACTTTCAGGATCCAGAATTAACCCAAATTAGACTACATCAACAAGAATGTGACACTGGTACATCAAGTACTTCTCAAGGTGCTCACGCACTGGAAGACAGGGCTGAGAAAGTTTGAGATGTAGGTCAAGGCATCACAGGAGCATTCTGGGACGTGAGGAACGAGCAACAGCATGCCAGTTTAACACATTGCTAGAGGCTAGGAGGGAATTCCTGAGGCTGACTCACAAAACGTACAAACAGGTATCTTCTGAAGCTTGAGAAGCTTCTGATAACACATTCAGGTCAAAGCGTATGAACTGTGAAGTCTACTAATTTTCCTATGCTGGAATACAAATATTGATCAAAGGCTGCTGGTGACATCTTGACACAGCGTCATGTTATGCCTCAGACAAAATGGAAAACAGAAGACACTGCAAGTGGGAGAAAGCTGGCAGATGTGAAATGGGACTTCTTGAAGATTACACAGTCCCTCTGGAAGAATCCTCCAGAAGCAATGGATTGAATCAGACTGTGCTAGATTTACCCCCACAGAGCTCTCAGTAAAAGCAGGGTTTGGAAAGTTCATCCTAACACCCAGCGTTTCTCTTTCCTATTCCAACAATTCAGCAATACTGGAATGCAACCATGAATGGGAAAAGCGCTTAGAAATCAGAGATAAGCAAATCCATCGTCAGAGCAAGGGATCAAGAAAACTCAACTAAGATTCAAGATATAAAGTAATCTGTCTCCAGTAACTCATGGGAAGCAGACAGCGACAAGATTCTTAAAGATATATCTGGTTTTCAAGATGTTGTTACATCATTGTGACTTGTCACCACATCATATGGAGTTAGGAGGGGAGCATTTTATGAGAAGAAATAAAAGTTTGCAGAAGCAGTTCTGAGTAAGGACTGAACAACACTTATTTATAACTCATGAGAAAACCTTGTTCAAGCAGACAAATATTTTCTTTTTAGACAGCTAAGGAAAAAAACCTACGCTCCTACCAAGTGCTGCTCCTAACCTCACAGGGACTAATCCCATTGTGGAGTTGTGCTTAACACAACCAACCCGAAGCGTGACCATCAGGCCGGAAAACATCACGAACATGCACAGTGAGAGACAGAGCCAGACATAAGCTTTTCATAAATTAGTAATTCCCTACTATCCCTCCACACATTCATGTTTGCCACTCAGAAAAAGCAGTGAGGCACAGCAGAGATTTACATGAATGGCTGCGACAGGACAAACGTTGACTCAGTGAGCCTCCCGGTTCTTCTCACAGCACCACAGGGGCTACAAGCACGAACACCACGGCCAGTGCTGCTCCTGCACTGACAGCAGACTGCCTGAATCAAAGTGGGCTGATGCTAGAAACCCCTTTTCACTCAGTCTGTCAGAAAAAGCTTCACCTTAAGTTATGTATAATATTGCATATATATACATACACACGTACTATAGGCGCATATGTAAACTCTTGTTAATATTACCTCTACCTTGCATGTTGTCCTGGTTTCAGCTGGGATAGAGTTAATTTTCTTCATAGTAGCTAGCATAGTGCTGTGTTTTGGATTTAGTACTACAAGAATGTTGGTAACACTCTGATGTTTTTAGTTGTTGCCAAGTAGTGCTTAGATTACTCAAGGACTTTTTCAGCTTCTCCTGCTCGGCCAGGTGCATAACAAGCTGGGAGGGAGCACAGCCAGGACAGCTGACCCAAACTGACCAAAGAGCTGTTCCAGACCACAGAATGTCATGCTCGGGGGGGGGTTAGTCGGTCGGTTGTGGGGGAGAGCGATCGTGGCTCAGAGAGCGATCGCTGCTCGGGGACGGGCTGGGCATCGGTCAGTGGGTGGTGAGCAATGGCATTGTGCATCACTTGTTTTGTATATTCTGTATATTCTCTTACCATTATTATTACTATTGTTATTCTTTTCTCTTATTAAACTGTCTCTATCTCAACACGCAGGTCTTACTTTTTTTTTTTTGATTGTCTCCCCCATCCCACTGAGGGAGGTGGGGTGAGTAAGTGAGCAGCTACACGGTGCTTAGTTGCCAGCTGGGTTAAACCACGACACGTGCTTATAACTAAGGCTCTCCAAAACCAGGGAAGAGAAAAGGAAGCATTTTAGTTAAGGGCTGGCCTAAGAGACAAGAAAGATCTACTATGCAGTGTCCCATACTCAACTATGAAAACAACTGCACAGTAATTTTACATAACTTTTTGGGTTTTTTAAGGACACTAATGAAACTAACATATATATTTGTTCTTCTCAAAACCCAGAGTGTCATTGTGTAACTCCAGGAAAGTGTCTGCATTTATTTGCTTACTCTTTACAACACTACTGAATCACAGCACCTTCTTACAGCTTCAGAAACTTCTCAAAATGAACAGCAGCTCATCTTGTTTCACAGAAGTGATAAAAAACGTCTCGCATAAGGATTTAGTCTGGGCCATCTCTAGAACACTATTTGGGGTATTTTACCTAGGCACTTCTGAGATAACCATTCTGCAAGCCAGAAAGTCATCACATCCTGTGTCCTTCCTAGCAAAGGATTATTATTCTTCTAAGACAGACAGGTATGGGCCTTTTCAAAAATTACCTCTTTGCCTATAAGTTGTTCCTCCTTTGCCAACAGGACCATCATATACAGCAAACAGACAATCATGCTGTGAGTCTGAGGATGAGGGTTGGGGTTCCAGGCATCAGAGAGGACACTGACCCAGTTTATTTCACATAAAACATAACCCAAGAATAAGAAACAACTCTTGGGGCTGCCTCTTTCAATCTAGGAAGGAGAAAGGAAAAAAAAGACAGGTACATAAAACAATGTAAGGCATAAATACATTCATACTTTTCAACTCCTTAGTCAACCATAAATCTACAGCAGCATTTTATGTTGGCAGAGGAGCAGACAGACACCGCTTCTCCATCAATTTGCCTCCCACCAGAAGAGTTGCACATATAACTTTCTAAGCCTCTCAAACAACCAATACAGGATACCAAGCTACTGCAAACCGGAAAGAAATAATCTATTACAAACTCTTAGCTGCACAATTGGATCCGTTTCTCTTCTCTCTAAGAGAAACTAAAAAACTCTGAGCCCGTTTAGAACTGCATGGAGAACTCATCCCAAACAGCTATGCAGTAAATCCTGGAGCATATTCACACCTATCTGCAGGTTTATGTTGTCTCAGACATGAATATGGCAATAACAACATGTCAATAGTGAAATACATTAACTTTAACTAAATACAGTATTAAATACATATGCAATGAGACACTCAGAGCAATGACAGATTACAAAAGCTGCCAGCTTTACAACTCCCCACAACTCAATAGCACTCCTTCACAAAAATCATCCATCAAAAATGAGCAGCTGTGAATATGCTACAAACTTTAAAAGCTTACTTGCTGAAGAACCATCTCCAGCTCTCCAGTTATTTTCAAGGGCAACACCAATTATACACTCAATTCAACAGGTGCCAGTGTACTCACTTTAAAGAACTCTTCCATAAGCATCTGGTCTGGATGCATTTCCTTCCACGGAAGCCTTCTGAACTCCGTATGGAAAGCATAGAGAATAAACTCGGGCATTTTGGGGGCTGTGCAATATTCACAGTAGTGCATTAGATGTAACCAGAGAGCCCCGTGGTGGCTTGGCAAGACCTTATCTAGATTCAGAAAGGGTATCATTGAATTAGCAACAGGAAAAAGAAAAAAAAAAAAATCAGGGAAAGCTTGATTACAGAAGAAAGTCCTATTCTGAAGATGAAAAATAATAAACCAAGTTATACCAAAATATACGTGTCAAAGAAAAAAATGCACATTTTGAAGCTTGTTGATTTGGAGAAAAAAAAAAAAATCTAGAAGTGGGTGAGCTTATGATTTCATGCCCCTTCTCAATCTCCAGAGTTGCCAGACAATAATCTGAAGTTATAAAATACTCCTTCCGCGTAGAAATTCACTGGTTTTATGTAGGGGTTTTTTTGTTTTGTTTTTAAAAAAGATCTTATGAACATGGAATCTCATAAAATATGCAAAGATATATTATTTTTATTTATTTCTACAAGGTAAACTTGAATCTAATTCATCCCTAAAGGTTATCAAAAGGTATTTGTGAAATTAACTGTTTTCCATTCCTCTGTCTAACTACACATCACGTACAACAAGCAATGCTAAATAGGAGCTCAAAATGATTGGTCCTGGAGATTAAATTACCCCCAAGACTAGCAGTTGAGACACATGTGTTGGCCATCGTGACATGCTACTGTGTATGTTACATGGAAACAACATATAGACCTGGAATGAAGTCATGCACTCATTCCTCATGACAGCTCATTTTGTTCTGCTTTCCTTCACATTAACTTCATTGACTGACAGATATGCATTTACCAATCACATAATCTACCCTTGCCAAGGAAAAAAACCTGTCTTTTAAGGATGAAATATAGAAGTGCTCCTGGCACCACTGCAGCGATCGTCTTGGCTAAAAGTTCGTAACAAACAAAATCCCCTCATGTCCCACATCTCAATTAAAATCTTTTTTGGTCTGATAGAACAGAAAGTGCCACTACACTAAAACAGCGTGGACTTCACCCACCTTTAAAGCTCTCATGCAAAAGCTTGATGCAATCTGTAAACAAACAGACCACGGTGGATGCTACAGGAGCGTCGCTCTCTAACCAAGGGTAGCAGGGCTTGTTACTTGAAAGAAGAAGTGAAGCAACACAAACTTCAGTGCTGAGTTACCAGACCGTAAACACTTAAGTGATTTAAATATTCTAAAGCATAGTAAATCAATACAGTAAGTAGTACATAGTGAATTGATACAGTAGGTATCAGCAGTCCTTTAATTCAAACTGCACTCTTGGAGCTGCCTGTTTCTTCCTCAGCCGAGGTACATGTTTTAATGTCCCACTGAAGATCTATGGTAACACTGAGTAAAGAGAGATTAATTGTTTGATACTTCGTAACTGAATTAAACACCAAAACACAGGAATTTCTGAGTGACAGCACATACCACCTGCAGCCAAACTTCTAATTAAATGTTGGATATATATTCACAGCTCAAAAAGCTTTTGGCTTTGGAAGAAAGTCAAATATAAGTGTGTAACATTACAAATAACTCTCCACGTAAAGACAGAGGTACACCAGACAGTAGATCATCACAGGACTGATCTGGTCCAAGACTTCTTTATGCACCACTGGCATTTGGGCTTGTATTTGTTTGGCTTTTTTGCTTTGTTTTAGATAAGGAGTTATCAGTATTATGGAAGCTAAAAAAGGAATCTAATATTTAAATTCGAGTGTTTCCAGAATTAAGTGCAATTCATGTTTTTCTCATCTCTGCTTCCTGACCAGAGCTTGGTTACATTTCTTGTATCTAAAACAATTACCCAATCCAAGTCTTGGGAAATTTGACTTAAGAAACTCAGGAATTAGTTCTGTAATTTTTAAGGATATGACACAAGTCACAGCTATTTAATGGCAGGTCACAATATAGTCATGAATTAGAAAAAAAAAAAACCAAACATGTAACAATGAAAGCCGTTCTTATAAGGTTCTTACTCAAGCAGAAGTCGTTACTTGAGCAAAAAATCATTTAATTTTAAAATGCAATATATACCTTGCATCATCCTTATCCAAGACCAGTATCCATGGTTTAAAGAGTCCAGCAATAACTGAATACAAGGACTGCAATGCTAGAAGAAAATAAAACATAGAAGTGGCTTTTTTTCTCCTGAAATTAGCAACAGTGAACATAACACACTTTTCCAGGCTTAGATAGAATGTCCTTTGCTTATTCCAACATTTAATCAGTTCTTCCTGACCAAATAAAAATTTAAAATACAATATGCTTATTAGTAACTCTGGTTAACAATGTGATTGTTGTTAGTACAATCACAAGTATTTTGCATTGCTTAGATGTTTTAATATCACTAATACATCTGAGATTGTGGGGGTAATGATGATTCCCACTTTAAAGCTGCATATACTAAAATAAAAGGTGTTCTGGTGATTTTCTCCAAATCAAAATCACACCATGATGAAATTCAGTAGTCCCTGTTCCCAAACCTCTGCTCAGTGCGAAAGACAGTATTTTTCTTTGAAGAAAATCTGGTCTCTTCATAAAATAATTTTAAAGCAAGCTCAAATATAAACAAGCATGCCCCAACAAGCATAAAGTTCCACATGGCCATGATGTACCATCAGCATTTCCCATCTATATTTTTATGTTCACATCATTGTACAAATGCAGAGTAAGAAGATTTTACTATATATTTAAATGGTCTTTAACACAGGAAATTAGAGAAACTGCATGCTTGTTCTTAAGTAATTTGCTTTTAAGACACATTACCAGCTAGAATTCTGTTACTGCCAACAGGTTCTTGGGCTAAATTGGCAACTTCAGTGTCAATAAGTCGTTTAGTAAGATACTCCAGAAATTTATTCACTTCAGCCACATAAGGACTCCATTTTGAAAAGAGGCCAAAAGTCCTGAAGTCCACTGAAGCCAGTCGGAGTTTGCAGAAAGATGTGGAAAGCCATTCTACTGTCTCTCTAACCTATAAAAAGAAGTAAACTATTATCAGCTATTATCAGAAAGGCTGCACAGCCATGTTACTTGTCACTGGTGGGCACCTGTTTCAGCTGAAAAACATAATAAATCAACTAAAGAGGCACCCACCTGTTCTGCAGAGAGGAGAATTTTGGCACTATTCTGCAATACAGGACTTTCAGCAGAATCACTTTTCTTGAAGCTCCCCTGTTCAGCCACTGGTGAACCACATCCCAAAGCTTTAAGTGATGCCTTCCAACAGTCAGGGCTTAGAAGCTGCTCTGATGAGCCTTAGGAGAAAGAGAAGGGAATGCATTTGTGAAAATCAGAAGGGTATTAGTCCCTTCCTCAATACAAGTCAGAAAATGTTGAAATTAGAACTCCCCACTGCATAAAAAAAAAAAAATTAGGTAAGGCATGAATTTGAAAGCCCCAATTTTAAGGGTGAGAGATATCTCTCATTCCTAAATGTAAGTAATTTAACATTCCCTTTTGGTGTCTACATGCTCTCTTCTCAGAGAGTTTCCCAGGCACTCAGTACATGCCTGACTACAAACACGTATTGAGAGGCAGTTGCTGCCTCAGCACATACGGTCTGACAGACAGGAATTACTTTTGTTCTCATTTTAGAGGCACAGCAGATAAGTAGCATCTAATGTCAACCAGGACATTTTCAGCAGATTTCAGTATCAGTCCCAGGTCTTCATAATTCCAGTTCTCAGTCTGACATTGAAGGGTGCTCAAGAGCAAGGCTTCTGCATTACAGAATTATATTGTGGCACAATTATAATTCATAAGTGCCTCCATTAATAGAAACCTCTTCTCCATCCTTCTCTTGTAACATGGGCTGGAAACCTGTGGTCACTGACGCATGTACTTTGATTTGCAGAAGAATGTTTCTTTCTAGCAGAGATAAAATATGTCTAATAAAAACATATCACATAGGATGCACATAAAACTGTATACGGAAACTTAAGAAAGTTTAAATCATTCTGTATTTGTTGCTATTTCAAAATATGAACTGCATGCATTAGAGTTAAGTCAGAAGAGTTCTGTACGAAAGGCTTAGTATGCATCAATTCAGATACTCACTTTGCACAAACAGTCTTAGGAAATCACTATAGTGATCAGGGAACTGATACTGGAGAAGGTTAGTCCAATGCTTGCAGAAGATATTAAATGGCATCAAAATATCTTCTTCAGGTTCAAGGCCACATGCATTGAGAGCCAAGTGAATAGACTCCAGAAGCTGGGTACGTTCAGACAGAGGTGGCTTAGCAATGCTTAACCATTGCATAAGGTCAAACTAGAACAGAGGACAGGAAGCATTTGTAAGTAGAAGCTTTAACAGCCGCAACACCTTTAGAAGAAGGTAGAAATTTTCAGGGGAAAAAACATTCCTGAAGTTTTTATGTATTTAAGAAAACCTAATAAATGTGTACCTCCTTAGCCCTAACTCAAAACCAAGGTAACGCTCTCCAAAGGTTATGATTTAGTATATTGCAGCATACGGCATATATCCCAAATTTATGAAACAACCCTTGGCAGGGGTTCTCAGACTCATAAAGATGTGTATTAATTCCCACGCTTCAGTACCACTGCCAAATAAACACTTACAAGCATTAGACGAGGCTAATCTCCATAGGCCATAGATTTTCAGGTAGAGGTGCAAAGCTTTTGTAATTTCTGGGCCATCTGTTCAGACCTAGGTCAGCAGGGACAGTGCTGATCATTTCCACTAAGGACAGCTCAGGGTCATGCCCAAACCAGACTGCCTGCTATTCACAGCTGTCAGACGCTGCCTCTGTGCAACTAATGAAGAGAATCAGAGCGATATCAAAGCCTACACATAATAGTCATTTCTCCACTGACAATACACACAGGCAGCATCGTGTAGCCCGGAAGCAGCTGATGTGCAAATCACTTGCTCTTACCTAAATTTGTATGTTTTAAGACAGGCAGGAAGGACAGACGTGCCAAACAGATGGAAGATTCAGACACCGTTCCAATCTTTTTGTCTGATTTGTTGTTTTGTTTTTTTTAAGATACCTGAGGTTCACTGGCTATTTTGATGAATGTCTCCGGAGAGATATCAGGCAGAAGCCAACACGAGCCTGCTTTAATTTTAGGAGTAAGAGTGCACTGAAGAGTAAACCCTAGGAAGCATGTACTGATACTATCTGAGTTAGGAAAGGGTAGTTTAAGCTTCCTATTTGCTTTTGCCTCCAGCCCCTCTTGAGCTTAAACACAACACATACCATTCAGGATGAGCAACTTAGATCTACAGAACCTGCCAATGTTATTTTAATGTACCAGATTCACACCTCTTTCTTGCTTAGCCTAAATTCACAGTCTTTAGGGAAGGAACACTGGCAAAAGCAACCCACAAAACAGACCACTGTATTCATGAGTACTTTACCTTTGTCAGCAGCATGAACACAACATCACTGTTGTCCTCACTCAGAAAGGAAACGACTTTTTCATATAAAGTCACAAATTCACTGGGAGAGGCAACAGGAGTGAAGTAAGGAGAAAGGAGAGTACAGAGCCTTCGATTCTGCAGGATCGTCTGGAGGAGACGTCTGCACTCTGACTTGGTCCCACTGATGAACACCTGAGGAAATTGGGAATGGTGAGAGAAAAGGCCTAGTATGAATCTATTGGAAAAAAACACCTCTTAAAGTTTTTTGCCACGACAAGCACAATTTTTAATCCTTTTAAAAGAAGAAAAAGTTTTCTCAGAAGTGACAGACTGTACGAGATCAACTAAATACTGCTGTTCCACAAAATACAAGGTAAAACATTTCCCTAGCACACTTGAGAACAGCACTTGTGACCACACATGCATAAAAATACCTAGAAATCCATTTTTTCTGATAGGTTAAAAAAAGAAAATTGAGACTTCGTCAGCCCTACCTGACATCAGGAAAAGTTTAAAGAGAACTATGGCCATGGAGAGCTCTTCAGCACCTCAGCTGTCAGAGGCACTGAAGGACAATTGCGCATGGAAACAAACTGCATCTAAGAGATTAAAATAAATGTCTGGACCCAAAGCAGAGGCTAATACTTTTGCTTAGAGCACCCACATAATGTGCTCCCCATGGCAGATATTACCAAAGCCAACAAGTACTTATGCGCTCTACCAGCAAACTTCTGGCTAACTCGGCACAAAGAATATTTATTACAAGGCTATAGAACGGAGGTGTCTAAACACTAAGGTTGACAAGACATATGTCAGCTAGAAAATGATAGGTAACAGCAAAAAACCTCCTCTTTTACGTACTGGAAGCACCTGAACTTTAGTTACCTGCCCAAAAATCCAGTCTACCTTAGCATTTAACTAACACAGTATTTATTAGCACTAAGCAGGCATCTCAGAGCAACAGTTTTTAGTTTGCTTATATGCAAGCTTAAACTCTCCTAAAGACTGTGTATATTATACAATTAGTTGAAAGGAAACCAGGATAGAAGCTCAGAAGTTAATTTTCAGGCTTCTGAACATTTCAGACTCCCAATATCAGCAGGCAACTAGAGTAAGCATTAGGCATCCCAAAAATCAGAGAATAAACTCACTTGGCCTAGAATCTCAATGCAGGACGTGAAGAACTGCCTTGTGGGAGGATTGCGTTGAGTTTCATCACACACATATTCCACTAATGTAAAAAACAAACTAATTCCAACTTTCTTAATTGCAGGCATAGGCTGTACCTTGTAGATATTTATTAAGGCCCTGCAAAATAAAATTTAAAAAAGGCAGATTAAATTTACATAAGGAAAATAATCTGTGACAATAAAGAAAGTTTTCTTGCCAATATATAGCCTTGAGATGAGTATTTCTGGCTTACATGATAATCAAGCATGGTTTCACAGAATCACAGCATGGTTGAGGTTGGAAGGGACCTCTAGAGGACATCTGGACCAACCCCCCTGGCTCAAGCAGGGCCACCTACAGCTACTTGTTCAGGACTATATCCAGATGGCTTTGGAGTATCTTCAAGGATGGAGACTTGACAACCTCTCTAGGCAGCCTGTGTCACTCCTCACAGTAAAAAAAAGTATTTCCTGATGTTCAGAGGGAACCTCCTGTGTCTCAGTTTGTGCCCATTGCCTCTTGTCCTGTCACTGGGCACCCCTGAAAAAGAGCCTGGCTCCATCTCCTTTGCGCCCTCCCTTCAGGTATTTCTGTACACCGACGATAAACCCCTAAGCATTCTCATATCCAGGCTGAACAGTCCCAGGTTTAGCTCAAGTAATTTTGCCTCCTGAAATGGATACCTACAAACCTTACACAGTCTCCACAATCAGAGTCATAAAGTGATCATCAAAAGATTTTTCACAGCATAGTTCCAACAGATTATTTGTCCCTCAAATCATGTGTTCATCATGTTCTTAGGCCATCTCAACTACATTTGTACTGCAAGAAAAGGTACCTCATTTTACTTAAGGGGCTCAGCAATAAAAGAATTAAACCAGAATCAATCTTTTCTTGTATTGCCAAGTAAATGTTTTGAGCTCAAAGCCCCATCTTCTCCAAGTCCGAATTAAAACATGCAATTCCACAGATGTAAATCCCAAGAACTATCTCATCCTCAGAGTTTTTCAGACTAATGATCAAGAATAAACATGTAGAAATAATAACCAAATATTTTTACTCATATAGTGAATACACTCCACAGGAAACCAACTACACTAAAAGAATCACAGGAGAAATCTAGGAGATTAAGAACAGTGCTGTAAAACTGGACCTCTGGGATGAACTCTGAAAGACCTTAAAAAGCCATTTATTCACACCCTTCCAAAAAGTGGTATTATATAGTCCTCTTCCACTGCACTATTTTGTTTTACATATTGCAAAGCTACTTCAAATCATAACTCTCTAGTAAAGAACTATGTCCTGCAGTATAATAGGAAAAAAAAACTTACGGAGAGGGGTATTAAAACCACATAGTTTAGCTTATGGCTGAGACAGCTGTGGAAACAGTTTGCTATTTCCTGAAGTTCAACATAGCATCTCTGCCATCACTCAATGTGTTTTTGCAGGGCTAGAAGGGTTATTCTAATGCAGAATACAATACATTAAAGTAGAAAACAATACTGTGTGCCCTGTGGAGGCTGAATGACCAGCAGTTGGCTCTTTGATAATACACAAAGTTATTCCTTTAGAGGTCTGTGTCACAAACATACAGGTCTCAGGATTCCAGCTCTGTTGTCAACCCAAGCTGATAAGCATTATGAAAAACACACAAACAGATTCTACATTTTAACTCTAATATACAGAAAAAGAAATATAAAACATCACTACCTAAAACAGTGTCTGAACAACCTACGTTATAAAATTTTCCACATGTACTGCTGCTTCCACAACACCCAGAGAAGGTGGCTTCGTAGCTTCTGCCTGCAGTTGTCTCACTTCTTTACGCAAAGCATGAAGCTGCTGGCTCACTGCTTCATTTTTATGTTTCCCTTCAAACTAAATGACAAAAAGACACATATTCATTTCAGAATAATATCTTTTGCTCAAATTCTTCAATGTTGCACCTATTTGTAAAAATGAAGCAGAGCCCAGTAAGAGAACTCTGAACATAGACTGTTCTCCCCTGAGGGTTTTGAACAGATTTAGTACACATGCCCAAGCACACATCCTTCATCATGTTCCTATTTAATTATCACACACTAATATAATTGATGTCTTTTATGTAAGGCTTTTAATCCACAGGGACTGAAACTTAAGAAGGGATCAAGAAATTCATACACCAAGCAACGTGGGAATACTTCCATAAACATTTTCATGCTTCTATTCCTATGTGAGCATATTCCCACATTCATACATTGGGAAGTAGTTTGGAAAGGATGCTATGGGCAAAACAAATTGTATGCAACAACTTATTCTTCAGCTGTTGATCTGCATCTCCTTTTGAGCATTACATATTAGGTATTTCAGGTAACTATTCTGTGTGTATGGATTTATTCGGTTAACCACTACCATTCTTGTGATCATTCAGTGATTTCACTTTCATTATTCATGTCCAACAGCCCCAGAACAGCAGTGATGCCATGTCTCTAACCTGGATTGTTAGAAGAGCTGCTCCCTGGCAGCCTTTATTTGAAGTTCCCCGGCACTCCAAATGGAGGGTGATCTGCTCTTCCCGATTGACGTACAGCTTAGGTACTGTGTCCAATATTTCGCTATTGAGAGCAACATGCTGAGATTCCCAGAGAGCTGCAGTTCTGAAAAGCATTTGTTAATAAAGTTACCAAAATCTTTACTGAAAACAGTAATGCTAAGAATTTGTAAACAAGAGATGAGACTTCAACTTAATGTGCTATAAAAAGACTCATGACACTTTCCTAGAAAACATAAAAGGTTATTAAATGAAATTGCATTAAAATTTCAAAGTAATAGCACTTCAAAGTAATAAAGAAATAGGTTCATAAGAACAAAACTACTCAAGTCAGCATGAGCTCTTTTTAATTATTCTATATGACAGCTTGGAAGGAAATCAAATAGACCACCCTCTCTAGGAAATGTAATTTTCCACCAGGCAAAAAAAGCTGGACTGTGGGATGATTCAGTCAACAATTGCTGTTGGAATTGTTTAGACACATCCTCTCTTGGGCTTAGCAAGTTTTGAGGTGGTTTTTTTGTTTGTTTTTTTTTTTAATAATAATATTGATGTTAAATTACTACATTGAGCAAGAACAGCTATAGATTTGTCAGCTGGAGTAGGAATATTAAAAACAGAAACTCTTCTCTTTACACACAAAGCTAATAGTCCCAGAAATCAGATTTCTCTCTTGCGGGTTCCAGTGCAGCTACTACATTAGTGCAAAAGGGTTAACTAACTATCTTATTGTCAACAAATTTAGGCTAAAGAGAGGCTTTATTTTAAGAAGTATGCCAAATGAGAAAAGAATCTGTAGAAGTTAGATGTCAGCTGATGTAATCTCAGTCATTAGACAAGACTTATGTAGCTATATCTTCATTAAAAGGATCAGAATAATAACCTGATAGCCAAGGGGAAAAAAAACAAAACCCTACACCACAAAAACCAAAACTTGAGACAAGAACCAGAAGTCATGTACTGACAGTCTTGTGCCAACGCCACAAATGAGGCTGCTGTAAAAGGGCACCTGAAGACACTGCTAGACATGCTAGTGGGGCAGAAGGAAAACAGCCATGTCTTACTTGGCATGTCGCTGCAAGACGTTAAGGTCCATGTGCATGAGCTGAATTGCTTCTTTCTGACTTACTAGACTGGCAGAGGAAATAACCGGCACAGGAGCTTTCATTGTCTGGAGAGGAAGAAGAGGCTTGGGAGTATCAAACTTCTTCAAATTATTCATTATCCTCTCTTTGGCTAGAAAGGAAAGCAGAAGCAAGTTTTGTCGATAAGAAAAGGTTAGGAGAAACTGAACAAACACATTATTTTTCTGCATGAAACATTTTTAGCAGCAGATGTGTTTCTCAGGATTCCTCCCTTTTAAAAAAAAAAAAAATCACTTAATTAATCTTCCTATTTTTCTTGAGAAAGTTTATTTCACACAGCTAATTTTCATGACCAGCTCCATCATACAGACATTAGGATCCAAGGCCCCCATTGCTTTTCTTATTTCCTCTAGCCTGTCCTACCTTCCACCCTTCCAATCTTCCTCTTGTCACCCCATTTATTTCCCTCACCCGACAGGCTCCCAGACCCAGTCTGCTAAACCAAATTCATCTTCCTTCCCCTACAATTCACCCTTGTCTCTAGTCTTGTCAGCTCCAATTCCTCCTCAAAGCGTAGCCTCTCTCCAGGTCAGCACTCTCCTGCTGATTCCCAAACAGCACCGATTCACTGATGAAACTATTCCAGTTTCCTTCTATTCCCTCCCTCCCCTTTTTTAATCAGCCCCCCAAAAATCCAATCTCATGATACCCTTTAATCTATCTACTATGACTGTTAACCCCTTCTGTGCTAGAACAACCCTTTCACCATGCCGAAATTCCAGGGAAACAGCAAGGAAAGGCACTGGGAACAACAAAAAGAGACAATTTTTCTGTTTTCAGTTACAGTGGATTTTGCCTTTGCTCGCAGCTGTCTCTCTGCAAACTTTGGGAAAATTCAGCCTGTCTGGAGTATGCTGTGTGCAGAAGAATCTTTGGAAAGCTCACCCATGAAGCTCTAAGCATAATATGACCTGCTGTTCTGTGATGCAGCAAAATTTAAACCAAAGCCTCTCACATGGACACCTTCGTGAGAACACCATGAAAACTTCACTGCTGTTCTGTGATGCAGCAAAATTTAAACCAAAACTATGGATTTTAGCCTCTCACATGGACACCTTCGCGAGAACACCATGAAAACTTCATGCAAAATACTGTACCCACAGAAAACAAATTGTATTAATATCTTTATTCACAGACTTCAATATGTTCCTAGAGAAGCCAAGGCTTCAACACACTAACAATACTTTCTGGCCCAGTTTCATTAACAGTATCACTATCCTGTACCTGATAAAGGGTTGGTGAAATCCGTCTGCCCTGCAGAAACACTGGCTGTATGTGATTCAAGCTGAAGTGGCAGCCAAAGGTTGAGAGCTTCCTGAAACTCATGGTGTATGAGTTCAACATTGACATACTCCATCCACAAATCCTAAAGCACAAAAGAACTAAATTGTCATTCCCATTTTGGTCAGTGCCATGTACTGTGCGTCCATCCCAGTAACTGGGGAACCAAAGTAAGTACATAAAACTAGACCCTGTAGGTTTAAGTCATAGGAAAATTATTACTAGGGAAAAGAAAAGAGCTATGCTGAAGAATTTTTATCACATATATAGCTAAGCCACTGAAAAGCATTTGTGATATTTAAGAAATCTGACAAGCACACACAAATTAGAGAGAAAGGGTACAGATTATTAAAACTCTCATCCTAAAAAAAGAACACAGAGGAAACGAAGATAGTCTAAAACATCATGGCACAATTAAGTGTAATCAGGCTAAAGCAGGCTGCATTTCCAGTGGTCACATTCGCTGGAGGAATAACAACAAAGCAGGCATGAGGAAATGACCTTCCAAAATCTCCCCCTCAGAGGCTTTTTAATTACACTAACTTTCCAGGATTACTGGAGAGAATAGTATACACTTCCCACTCACTAACTTGTATTTGAACCTCACATACTACAGACTATCAACATGAGCAGATTTTGGCTTCCAGCCTTTTGTCATTTAAAGTTCCAACTTCAATAATTCCCTAAAATTATCTTAGAACATAAAAAGAATTACAGAACAGTATAGAATAAGGACTGTGTTCTCATTAAGATATGCAAGAAATCTGTTCGTGAGTCCTTGCTCAGATAAAAGGAAGACAGTTTGGGATAGCACAGGATTTCTAGGAAAAAAGTTAACATGCTGTACACATATTAAAGACCAGTGACATCAAGTCTCTCACTAATTTAGAGGACCCACTTTAACAAGTGAAGTGAATTTGGGATCCCAGATTGCCAATGTCATTGGCACTTCACCTGTTGATTCTGCATGACTTTAGCAAGTCTATGTGTATCATATTGCTTCGGTAAAGAAGGAATGTACGTGTCTCCTTTCTGGAAACTCTCTTCTTCCAACCACAAAACAAAAACATTACAAAGCCTGAGAAGACAAACAAAAAAAGGAAAAAATAAATCAATGTGAACTTTAATTGTATGCATAGCATGTATTACACACAGCCTCATTCTGGGGTTTAGAGTTAAGGCAACAAATCACGCTGCAAGGAGATGCTTTGTGACTTGTGTATGAAGTGCCAGTTCAAAGACCAGCAGTGGAAAGAAGCTATTTGGAAACATATAAAGGGCAATAACCAAGAGTAACATGACAAATTTTGAAAAGGAAAACATTTATGCAAATTAGCAAACATGACCCAGCACTGGAAGTGCCTCTTACGTCAGGGAATCATACTACAACCCCATTCAAAAGACCAAAGAAAAAAAAAGCACGTCTGAACTAGTTTGGCTTCTCACCCCATGACTTCTCTAGAGTACCTGCTCTAAAAGCTCACACCCTAGTTGTCTAATTTCTTGTCAGACTTAAATTCATGGCTAGTTTATTCCCACTTTGCCTCTGCTAACACTGTACTTAATATATAATACAATACTTAACATAAATATACTTCTTTCTTCAACTGACATCATTCTACTGATGGATACCCTTGTCACAATCATATCATCCAAGCTTTCCTGATTACAAGGGAAAACTAGAATACCTTTAAATCTTTGCACTGTTGTATTAAATATCACTAGCAAACTCCTGTTTTCTGCATCAGTGTCATTGGTTAAAAAGTTGACGTAGACTAAAAGTCTGCCCTTATGAACTCTACCAATATTTTCTATCCTGTCTAGGTGGTCATTAAGCTTCCTGAGCATAAGATTTACGTGGCTGCGGAGCAGTCTGGTTTTATGTTGGTATGGGGAGCTCCTTTGAAATGAAAGGCTGGAAAAATATTAAGTTCCAGCCAGTAAGCATTTCTGGATTATCTTTTACATATGACCAAGGAGGATTTGTGATGTCCTTTGTTTGTTTGTACAGTACCTACTGATTGCTGGTGGGGAAGCACTTAAAAGAAGTCCAGATCCTGTATGCCCAAACCCCCTGAACAAAGGACTCTCCTCAAATAATCCTTTCAATTACAGTTTATAGGAAAATCCAGATACTGTAATACTGCAAGTATTTCTTACGGTAGACTTCTCAAATGAAAAGTCTGTGTAACAGAACCACGGACTTCTGAACAGCACAGCTACAGTTTCAGTGCGCGTGAGACACATGGCTCTTAGAAGTTACTGCTCCTTCCAAAAATGAGTGCTCATCAACTGCATTGCAGTAAGTGACCATGCACATCTCCAACACAAGGAGACAGTCCTGCGTTTGGTTAAGGAGACATATCACTTTCCAGCTGGCACAGAACACATTTGTCACAGCTTAACTTTAGTGTGATCACCAGGTAAACTGCACTAATTAAATCATGTGTGGAAATATCCAGCAAATTCCCTGAAGAAGTAACCTTATTCAGACTTAAGTTTGGGCCCTAGCCTGTGACAAACAGATGTATACAGACAAAGCAGCACTTTAGAGCTAGTGATGTACATATTGGTAGCAGGTATGTCCAAACAACAAATATTTCACTAGTATGAGGATACCATTAATTAAAAAGCAAAGCTCTCCTCTGAGGACAACTATATCAACAATGTTTTATTTTTAGCAGTAAAAGCAGCCTCTCCCTGCAAACAAAACAAGTTCTATCAACAAAGGAACAGATTTGACCACTGCTATGCATGTAACAAGTGCCAGCAGTACATCCAGGTCAGCGTAGGGCCACCTCCCTTCGTGCCTCCCATGGCTAAGACTGTGCTCTAGTAGTTGCTCAGGTGGTTGCATTGAGCAAGCTTGAACTGGGTAGTCTTCCTTTACCTGACAAGTTCCTTATGCAGTTCTGGTGAAGTCAGGTAATCTGGTGAGCAGCTCGCCTTCTCTGGTGATCTGTCGCTGCCCTCTGCGGGACTCTCCACTCTTAGTGCTTTACTGGCAGCATGGTGGAAGTCTGCTACCTCTATTAAGCGCTGCTTCATCTCGCTCAGTAAGTTAATATGAGCCGCACTCTGGAAAAAACGTCTTCCAATACAGCCATCTACAGGTAACCTAAAAAACAAACAAAAAAAGCACAACAAAGTCTTGTTGCAAATGTCAAGTCAGCATTTCTGCAAATGCATTGACTCTAAATTTAGACAAGTTGCTAGTACCTGCTTTCGGATGCGGTCTTAGTACGAGGCACTTACTAATCTCACTTTCAGTGCAAACTTCTTATTGCTTGCTAATCTGCTAGAGCCCTTATGATCAGACTCACCCATACTGCGGTCCTGGTCGGTGAAGGTAAAGGAGGAAGAATTTCTGCCAGATTAGTGGCATGAGAGGGTGATCAGCAGGGGTAGCAAGGGCCTGGTGAGCCCAGCGGTAGATCATGAGCCTCTGAAGGGAAGGTACAATGGGCAGCTTCAGCTGGGTCTGTGCTTTCTGCAAAAAGAACATTCTCAGACAACTGTTCTGCTGCGGTTCCCTCTAACAGGCTGTCACAGCTTAACCCAACAGATTAACTCAGCAATTATAGAGCAGAAAACTTTTCAAAACATTCGCACATCTGTTACAGGTCTTAGTGGAAGAGCTGCGCAGCTGACAGCTGTTAGAGCAGTGCTACAGCTCTGATGCTTAAAAAAAATAGCATGAATGGAAGGGCTACTGTGATGCAAGGCCAGCATATGGGCCATTGGTGTTAATTACAGTTAATTACTGTTCTTCCTCACAGAGGTAGGTGTTCCTGGTTTAGACATCTGTATAAATGGTGCTGTTAGAGAACAAAGCAGCAGCAGTGAAGCACACAGCATGGTCCAACCAGTAAAAAATAAATCTTAAGCTGCCTGAGGGCTGAGAATTCTACAGCATGTTATCGCTTTTAGCGTTTTCCAGACTATATTCCATACAGCCCTATTGAAAATCTAAAGTAAAACTCATGTGAAGAAAGAATACAGAAAGAAAAAAAAAAATTTTTTTTTTTTGCAGAAGCAGAACAAATGCAATGCAACGTATGAGCAGCAGCACTCCATATCAGCAACATGGAACACTACTCCACAGACCCACTAAATCATTAAAAAGTCACACACCAAGCTCCCATGGACCGTGCCTGAAGCAGAGGAACTGGAGGCTTTTCTGAATTCCCACATCTCGGCACAGACCTTGGCACAACCTCATCCCCCACACTAGACCTCAGGAATCCTCAGCACCCTTTTCCACACACTCCCCCCATACTATCTCATTGTTTTCCAGGTTAATCAAGACATGCAAGCCAAAGGACAAATGTTTTCCAGACTAGTCTTCAAGGATGCAAGACGTGTACCAGATCTGGACACAGCCAGACCTATTTCCACCAAGCTTCATAGGAGCGTAGAGAAAGTAATCTATTTTCACAGAGCTTCTAGACTACCTTGCTTATTAAAACACACTGAAACAGTTAAGAATAAGGATGTGCAAAAGGTAACACTTCAAGACTTAGTTTCCACTTTGGTTTGTTCTTTTCAAGCTTTGGTTTCCACTTGCTTCATTCCAGAATTTCTAACTGAATTTGGGCAAAGAACCTGAAAAATGCTGCAGCATGGCTTAAAGCACACCTAAAAACAGTTCTGAAAGCCTTGGGAAGTAATTCAGCAAAAACAGAGAAAAGTAAAGCCCAGAATTCTGCAAAATTAAAATAATCTGAGAAATACTCTTTGAAATATAGACAAATTAATCCACTTTTAAAATAAGACTACCTGCACTCCCCACCTCAGTGGTATAGAATAAAGCCACTGAAGATCGTGAGGCATTCAGATGACCCAGAAAATCATGCAACAGCACTAATTAGTGACTGAAGTTTCCTGTAAATAACGGTATATTAAAGACCAGATATTTGCACAGTAGTTTTTAAGTGTTCAACTCAAAATGTAAAACAAAACTTCCCTGAGGTATATTTTCTCCTGGAAAGCCAAATAAAACATTAGTTATGTTTTTATCCTGGCAAGAAAAAGCACATAAAATACACGGGAACACTTTTCTCCAGTAGTTCTGTCTGATAAAAGCAGATGAACAGTTCTCTCACCTTCAAAGCTTGATCAGGAGTTAAAGCATTAATAACCAACTCCCCCTCCACAACTCTGCGAAGCTGTGAATCTTCTTCAAATATTGACTCCATATTTAACACCACCCATGAAAACCATACCTATAAAGAACGGCAATAACAGAAACACTGATAACAAAATGGCAGGGGTAGGACCAGGAAGGTTGCTGTTTTCTTAAGAAGAATATGTCTTTGCCAGTTTCCCATTACAAAGTCACAAAAGCAGTTATCATACCTCAACATGAAAATTGAAAACCAGCTTCCTCCTTATCTACATTCAAACTTCCATTTTTGTATCCCATGCAATCTTGGGAAAGAAGGAGGAAACCAGGGACAAATAACAGAATTACCTAGAGAGTTCTAGAGGAAACAACCTACCCAAAGCCTGTAAAGTAAGATCCCCTCTCTCCCACCTGCACTATGTGTCTCCAGTTGGGGTACTACAGGTTTTTTTCCTTTTTGCTTGAATGAGGAACCTGCTTATGCAGAGAGAAAGCAACTAGTATTCAAAGTATTTATCAGATATAGACTGATCTAACAGAAGAAGTGGGCTTTACTTATTTTTCTCGCATTAAACATACTTAGAACAATTGAAGATTAAAAGAAATCTTAATTAATAAATCCTATTACATGAATTCTTGGTCACAGATCAGACAAACTTTCTCTGTGCAAAATGTCCGCGTTCCCGTTAGTGTAATAAACCCACAGCATTCTCTTATGCTAAATTAGGATTTTATCACAAGAAAACTCACAAACACAAGGATAGGAAGAAAGAGAAAACAAGAGAAAAATCTTCAAAAATCTGCAAAAGCAAAAAAAAGCGCAAGCCTAAACACATGTATATGGCTTACCCAGGGTTGTTCATACAACACCACCACACCACTCACCTGAGAGGAATTGGCATTGCCTTCAACAAAGGAAGGTGTAACATTGCCTGCCACAATCCAGCTAACAAGTGAAGACAGCAGACCTTTGTCACAATGATAGCCCAAAGCATTCTATATGGAAACAGAAAACATTTGGTGGATTTTCATAAGCAGCCCAACAGATGATTTACAAGCTAGAGGTATACCATTCTACCTTCATCCAGGTTCCTTTCTGCCTCACGTTGCTACTTCCCAACCCGAGCTCAGCCAGCCACCACACAAATGCCTACTTGCACTCCTTTTTTGATGAAAATAATCTGGTTTATAGTGACAGCCTCTGTTTTCTCAGGAGAGGATGCTCAGTTTTTGTTCTAAATACACTATATCAACATACAAAATGCAAAGACTACTGTCCTGGTTTCGGCTGGGATAGAGTTAATTTTCTTCATAGTAGCTAGCATAGTGCTGTGTTTTGGATTCAGTACTACAAGAATGTTGATAACACTCTGATGTTTTCAGTTGTTGCTAAGTAGTGCTCAGACTACTCAAGGACTTTTTCAGCTTCTCCTGCTCGGCCAGGTGCATAACAAGCTGGGAGGGAGCACAGCCAGGACAGCTGACCCAAACTGACCAAAGGGCTGTTCCAGACCACAGAATGTCATGCTGGGGGGGGGGTTAGTCGGTCGGTTGTGGGGGAGAGCGATCGTGGCTCAGAGAGCGATCACTGCTCAGGGACAGGCTGGGCATCGGTCAGTGGGTGGTGAGCAATGGCATTGTGCATCACTTGTTTTGTATATTCTCTTACCATTATTATTATTATTATTACTATTGTTATTCTTTTCTCTTATTAAACTGTCTATCTCAACCCACGGGTCTTACTTTTTTTTTCCAATTCTGTCCCGCATCCCACCGAGGGAGGGGAAACCCACGGGTCTTACTTTTTTTTTTCCAATTCTGTCCCACATCCCACCGAGGGAGGGGAGAGAGTGAGCGAGCGGCTGCGTGGTGCTGAGTTGCCAGCTGGGTTAAACCACAACAACTACAAACTAAAATGCTATGATAAAACTCATATGAATGAAACCTGTGTTCCAAATGGGTTTTAATTCTTATTATCCAAATATCAGATATTTGACTAATCAGTCTGCTCAGAAATAAATCAGATGACATAAACCCTTTACCAGTCAATCATAACTTTCTTGTTACATTTCACAAAAACACATTCATATCAGAGTTAGCACAAGCAGCATGTGAAACGGCCATTTACTCAATAGCCACACCATTATACCACACCCATTTACCTTGTGTTGTTGGTAAAGCAGCTTTTGTACACAGTCCTCTTGACTGTACTGAAAAGCAGCTTTACATAAGTCATCCAGCAAGAAGAGGGTAGCCCGGTCCCTGTGCCACAGCTGCTGGCTGGTGAGGACCTGAACCCAAAACTCCAGTACTGCAGCCGGCCCCACTCCGTGTGGCTGGCCACTTAGAAAAATGTGAGTCTGCCAAATTAAAGGGTAAAATTATTCAAGAGCTTGCAGCTTCAATTAAATTATAAGAATTTACTGAAGAACTGTTTAACTTGCAAAAGGCTGTGGGCCTATCCTTAAAACAAATAATTTATCATGTTGCTCTCTATGCCTGCGTAAAAACAGGTTTGTCATCTCGAACCTCCAGAACAGATTCTGCAGCCTGGAGAGCTGAGCATCTTGTGCAATCAGCAAAAATAGATGCAAAAGCCAAGAGTGGGACGCCTGTGACCTGCAGGCATAAATGGCACCTATTTCTGAAGGTGTAGCAGGTACAGCCTGCTGCTCCTGCAGAAGGACTTCCCAAGGTAGGTACATTTCCCTTTAGTCCTTAACCCTCTCTAACGTTAATGGGCCTTGGTTCTTGACCTCTCTGCACTTAGTAAAAAAATACTAGGTTCCTAACACAGGAACATTTTTTCATAGCATATCAAGGGTAAAAAGCAAAACTTTCAAACATTAATGTATCTGCTACATTCTTCAACCAACACAAGCAAGAAAGTAGTGCTGCATATGACATTCCCTTTTTAGGCAGTTTTGATCTGGTGTGAGAAAACACTGTTTCCAAGAAATCTGGAAGGCACACATTGTTGTCCAGCGTCACACGTATTGCCAGATTTACGCAAGTTTAAGTGGAAGTATTTCAGGAAACCAAACCCAACTATTTGTACCCCAAGGCTGCATAACTGCCAGATTCAGTATGCCTTCTAACTTCAAGCACTAACTTAGTCAAAAAAGCCTGGTTTTAAACACATCCTCCCCTCCCCGCCCCCCCAAATAATCTTCTTACCTGTATCATACTACTGAGCAGCTTAACATTTTCTCCATAGCTCACTCCTGTCAAGTGCTGTGTTACTTTATGGGTAACCTGCTGGGTCACCCCTTGAGGTACTCCACTATCCAGATGAAGGAACAGTTGGATGTAAGATAAAAACCTAGGGATGTCAACAAACTAAATTAATTCTAAAATTTCTCCTACATCATAATATACAGAAAATCTGCTTTTAGAAAATCTAAAACCACCTTGACAGCACTGGCAACACCCATATACAAGGACTTTGATTCACAACCGTGCTGCAGATATAATTGCTTGATTTTAACTGTAGCTTAGGCACGGTATGAGCAGCTGACAGCAGCAATTCAAGGCAGCTCACCAGGACTAAATAGAGTTCTCAATCCACATCGGCACCCAAATCTAGCCCAGGAATCGTTTAGGAGAATGCCTGGTGGTCCAAGCCAAGAGCACCCCAAGGACCACATTACTGATCTCAAAGGACAGCCAGCCAAGGTCCAGCACTTAAGAACGCTCCCAGCTGTTGCTCAATTTACAGTAGCGACACAGTTAAATAGCATTGCCTGCTTATTTTTCTCGCTCACCTAGACACAACAGCTACTTGTCAATACAGCTGTTTGAAGGCCACTTCTCTGGCACATCAGCAGCAGCCATGACAACTGTACATGTGATGTCAGTAGGGAGACACTTCTACAACTATGTCCTCAACCACAGTCAATGTCAAGAAGTAACTCAGCAAACAAACAAGACATACTTCCCCAACATCTGCACCACATCCTCACTGGACGCAAAACCCAGAATGAAGCCTAATAAATGTAACAGTTAAGGTTAGCTTTCATTGTTCTTTATCAAAAAACGTATTAGGGACATATAGTGCTTACTGTTCATTCTTCAGGAGGTAATACTGGCAAGAATAAAATAAGGGTAGAATTTTATCCAGCACATGGACTACTGTTCTCAGATATCTAGACTGGACGAGTATGCCCAAAAGAGGGATCCCTTCAGCACAGAACTTCTCAATGCTGTCAGAAAGAAAAAAAAAAAAAAACCACACACAACAAAATAAGGAAAAACACATTGACTATCAGTAGATGAGACGTAAAGACATGAATGTCTTTACACATAGTCTTTGAAATGCTGAACAACTAAATTCACAGTTTTTTCTTCAGCTGTAGAATCAGTTTGCCTACAGATTTGGTAAGTTTTTCCTGCCCTTCTGAGGGTTTGTGTCCTGTCTTCCAAAAATCACTGGAGATGCGGGTCTTCCTCCATCAAGTTTCAATGAATTTAAAGCTCAAGGTTCTTGCCTAACCTACCCAAATAGCCTCCCTCTCCAGGCAAAGGAAGAGCCCACAGAGGGAGTTTCATATCATCTACCTTTGACATTTCCTCAGGATGGATGATGGTCTGGACATCTTTCTTCACTACCTATTGATGGAACTCCGAATTTCCTTACAGTAGGTACTGAGATGGTTGCAGTCAGCTGAGATGAATCCTACTCTTACTGTCCAGAAAACTCACTAGTGGCAACTTATTTGGTACTTTGCTCTGCATCAAGTTTTGCTAACTGAGAAGGGCTGCACATTAGGAAAAGACGTAAAATATTAATTCTATGTCTACTCTGAGGTCACAAAAATGAAATACTACATTAAGTCACTAACATACAGTACAGTGCTTTGTTTCTTCTGCTCATTACCAGAACTGGCCTTGAAATTTTGCATGGGACAAATATCAGTGTTACTGTTTAGATAGGAGGAGGATGTCAGACAGCTCTTTGCAAGGCCAAATAGTGTTTGGGGAGAAAAACAAAACAAAACAAAAAAAAACCCATCAAACCCAAAAACCACAGAAGTAAAGAGATTCCTTGTTTTACATTCCATGCTCTATGTCACATAAAAATTTCCACTCTCAAACACCTTCTCAAATTACTCTAGTGCTTTGCAGAAGCACTTATGTATGTATGTATGGCATAACCTTACCATCAAGCAATGGCTTGGGGAAGGAGAACAAAGACAATATAATTTCTCTTTAAAGAGCAAAGCAATATTATATGCAGAACACAAGTTAGTGAAAATTTTGAATAGAGTAGGAGATGATTAAAGATATGACAGATTCTGGGAAAACAGACCTGGGAGAGACTGATTAACCTAGCTGTGGCCCTGTACCTTAATCAACTAGTACGTTTGATTATGTCCAAAAGCCTTACCACAAACCAGCTGAAAGCACTGGAAAAGACTGGTTTGGAACACAGTCAGGGACCGCAGGTTCAGTATCAAGGTTATACAGCTCTCTATTATTACCAGCATAAGTGTTTTTTCTCCTCACTATTTCCTCTGCTGCAGCCCTGCTAAAAAAATAACCTGTAGAACAAACCTTTCAGTAAGTGTGGTTAAATGTTATTCCTGTCCATAGCAATCATGCTAACCTCTCAGTTTCAATATTATTTCTAATTTCTATTTTTGTCTCTAACATGCAGAAGGCAAAAATATAGTACTAGGAACATAAAGGAAATGGCATGTTGTTTGAAACTACAGTCCCTGAAAGACTGCATTGGAAGTCCTTTATTCTTTATAGAAGCATAAAGATGCTAATAGCCCTCAGTTCATCATTAGGTAGGTTGCTCAGTCACTGGGGCCATCTATGCAAGGCAAGCATGAGAAAGCACACTTACCTGTGACCTAGCATGGTCATTGCCAGCGCCAGGTAACAGCCGATAGGGATGCCTGCTTTAACAGCCTTCAGGAGGGGGTGAAGCGTGACCGACTCCGTCATGTCGAGCACACTGTCAGACACAGCGACTGCAGGCCAGCCATGCTGCATGCCACGGTCATTTCTGTGAAGCTTTAACCTCAAAATCAACCCCCATGCCCACTGATTAAAGGAAGTCTCTGGTGTTTCACCGTAACGAACGATGCTGGCTAAGTAGGAGACCTGGAACAAAGCAGCAGGAACAGGAATGAAAGGAAGTACAGCCATACTACAGCATGTACAGCACCAGTGTGGGACTTGGGTCAGCTCAGATGAGTTTCCTCTTCTCTTGCAATACCATGACACGAGATCAGAGCAAGAGTAGTTATTCTTCAGACACACCACGTAGCACCACTAAATCAGTTCATCTGAAATCTCTCTTTCTATGGCCTTGATTTCCACCTGCCTTCTCCCCCCACCCATCCCTTTTGGTAAAGGCTGCCAACCTATACTGTTTGGCTAAAGTTTTCCAAATTAGATATTGGTCTTGGATTAAATTTTGGTTTTACTATTAAAAAAGAAAGAAACAACCACACACAACCTTCAATAATGTTTATGACTGCTAGTGAAAGGAAAACTAAAAATGAGTATTCAGAAAATAACATCCATCAACACAAAAAGCTTAAAACCTGGCACCCTCTCCTTGGAAAGAAGTCTCTAACAGACAGGCAGAGTCTCTGTGCCATGTAAATGTGTCCATTATCATTAAGAGCCTGTCTAGATTGGAGGGAATTGTAAATCTTTGGGAAAAATACTGCTCTGACAGACCAGTGTAAACTGCAGAGCAGGGAGTCAATGCAGATATTTCATCCTCTCTGAGTGGGGGTAGAAGAACCTAAGCATTATTTTCTCTCAAGTTCCAATTACAAGCTCATGCAGGTCAGGACAGATTCACCAAGTGGCAACCAAGGCCGAAACAGGCTTGAAAAGAAAACTCATCTAGCTGGCACAAGACAACAAACCATGACTAAGTAGTGCAGAGATGTAAGTCAGAAAAGAGCAGAGACAATAAGGAAGATTCAAAGTGTGGGAAGAAAAGACTGGTAAAAAAAGCACAGGGAGGAGAAAGCACTGTACAAGAAATACTGACAAGACAAAGCACAACACAATGCTAAAAGCTCTGAATAAATAAATAGAAGCATCTTGGATTGAATACCCAAAAGAGGGATTTTTAACCTTGATCTTTCTATCCTTCCATTCCCCTTCTGTAACTTGGAGCCATACCTTCCCCAGTCACCAGTGTGCTGTAAAATCAATGTAATAAATGTTTGTTGGGTATTCAGGTAACACAGCACTGATCACTACTGAAAAGCTCCTAAAATCTTGAGTCTTTACATAAGGTAAGGCTAAGAAGCTGGAGACACAGGAAGGATGTCTCTTATGTTCACCAGTAATATTAAGTAGCCTTTAATTAAGCAAGCACTGGCCAACTCTGCATGAGTAAAGGATGCTTACAAGAACAGTTTGCAACTATCCAACTACAGCCTGGATAATATTGCAAACTTACAAGGGGGACAAATTTAAAATTTCCATTTCTCATATAGATGTTAAACCCAGGTCTAACAGTATGTTCAATTAGGTCTGTGGGTGCAAAAATGCTGATAGTTGATATATTATGATGTCCTAGTAGTATCAAGATAGAATAGATTTTTAAAATAAAAAAAAAAAAAAAAGAGAACAAGGTCTTGCCCTGCAGTTTTTCCTACCTATCACCATCAATAAGCTATTCTCTGTAATTCTGAAGAAGGAATACCTGTTTTATGCTTTCAGAAAGCAGCCCAGCATATGGTTTCTGGGAGAGATATTTCTGATACGCTTCCAGGACCATCAGCGCAACCTCAGAATGGACAGCTGGATCCAGATGAAGAGCATCCTGCTTAAAACAGAATCATATCACAAAACTTTGCCTCATTTAAAAGGTCTCTACAACTGTATCATTCAATTGCCCTACAGAGAAATAAGTCTTAATTGGAAGAGCCAGAAAGAGATTAAGTACTGTAAATACCTAGGCAAAATCTTGTCCAGTAAGAAAAATTTCATCCCAGCATAGAAGAATAATGAGCTCACACTGGACAATACAAAGCTCAACAGCTAGATTATTTCCAGAAAAAAGTGACCATAATCACTTCTCATGTGCATTTGGTGGATTTCGAGCAATTAATCCAAAGATCCATAGGTAGCATTTTAAATTACATAGTACAGACACTGGAAATCTTGCCTTTAAAAACAAAATAAAACAAAAAAAACACTCATGCTTTTTTATCAAAATGTACTAATTCCTCCCATCAATTGCCACATAAAAGAAGTATTTTTCCCGATATCAAAGGGTACAGACACAACACTGCTATTGCACAGCAAAGACCTCACAGTTAATTTTCCTTACCATTCCTTTGGGAGAAAAAGTAAGGCAATCTTCATGTACAAGTATCAGCACAGCAAAGGGAGGAGTTCAGTACAATCAAACGCACAGATTACAATGCTAAAACGGATGACTGAACACAGGCAACATGACTTTTTCCCCAATCTATTTCTATTTCTCTCTGAAAGAACATTCACCCTTGACTGGATCCTGAACTGATGGAGCTCCTGGAGTAACCCGTTCTATGGAATATTTTCCCATTGTTTAAATAATGCTCAGGGCTTTGAAACCTCTATTTCAATCATGAATCTTCTTGCATTGTGAAAACATACCTGGACACAAGCCTGCAAACTAGTTACACCAGTCTCATTTACACTTCTTGGAAGATTCCTCTATTTCTACAGCCACAAATATCTTATCAAGTGACTCACAAAAACTGTCCCGCCAGCTGTTTCCTCTTGTTTAGAAAGAGGAAACTCCTGCTTAAATCTCTCTTTTAATTTCAGTTGCAGCACTACAAGAGAGCAACACAAGCAAATCCTCAGGCAGAATGCTGCAAAATTACGGTGAAGTTCCCATCCTACGCCATCAAGTGTACAGCCATCATATAAAAGCATGTAACTAACCATTCTCAAATTCAGTTATAATCCCAGGTTGAGTAATAGTTTTGCTCTGAAAAACTGACCAGGTTCAGGTCTCCTTTTTTTAATACCTACATGCTCATCGAAGCCCCAGTTTAGCCCTTCCAAGATAATGCAGGCTAGTTTATTCTCCACTGTTGTTAGACTGTAATTTAATAACCAGTCACGTATCAGTGCTATCTCAGACGAAGAAGGCTTCCACAGGTACAACGGCAGTTCTTTAAACAGATACAAGGAAACCTTTGAGGGCAGAAAAGAAAAAGGCTAATCAGTACTCAGTACAGAACAATAATCAGCATTATGCCTTTCTATCTTAAAGAGTGCTACGATCAAAAAAACCACAGGCAGGACTTTAACAAGATCCATTCATACCAAGCCATATCTTATAACACAGTCTGGTATGACCTCTAGTTTTAAGTGGGTGCCTGCTTTAAATGATGGACATTAGCACTTACCATCCCCACTTTCTCGATGGTCTCTCTAACTCGATCCAGCAGCACAGAAATAATCTGGGTATGGATGCTGGCAATTGCTCCCAAGAGTTCTCGACCAACTTTTGAAAAGGTCTCTCTTGTGGAAAGACTAACGTAAGACACCTGAGAAGATGAACAGAGGGAAGTTACTGGTTATGGCTGACCTTTAGTGACACTGCAAGAAAATATCTTTTGGAAAATAGAGAAAATAGTGATCCTGGACAACGAGGTCAATAAATGCCGATATTAAAACTGAAACCAATTGCCCTAGAAGATAATAAAGTTATTATGTCACAGTGCCAAAAACAAAGTCCAAAACTAACCATGGGAACAGCAATGCCACAAACGTTAAAAAAAAAAAACCACTACACAACACAACAAAAAACCCACCACGCAAGGAATTTCAGAGCTTCAAGTTAGACATATACGAGAAAAATAAAGCAAAACAATGATAATTTTGTACATTTGTTTCATGCTGGCTTAGTCTACAGAAAAGGTGTTCTTTCCCCCAGAAAAACATGCACTTCAGGATGTTTTAATTCAGTACTAGATTATAAACCTCAGAAGTAGCACTTTCTTAGTTCTATGGTAGAACAAACTACAGAAGCCATGAATGTTTCACACCTTCCACTGTTATAAAGAGCACATTCTTCATTTTCCTGAATGGACCAGTAATAATACTCACCTCGTATATCTCCAGAACAATTATTTTGATAAAATCCTCATCAACATCAGCCCTTTTGGTTTGTGCCATCTGAGCAAATGTGGTGAGCAGACAAATTTCTTCTGAGCAATTCATTGATTTCAGATACTTTTCAAAATTTTCAAGGTGGTCCGGATCTAGATAAGAGTCACATGAAAAAACCATAAAAGAAATGTTACAGGACATGCATCATCAATATTTATAAGTTTATTGACAATCCAATTCCAGAAAAGGAATCGGCAATAAAGGAATCATCATCACTGTGTTAGTATCCTCTCTTCAGAAGCAGCTGGTATCAGCTGCTTTAAAATAAGGTGCAAGAAACACCATAATATGCAGTCAGTCCATACGATTCAGTAAACACGCTAGTAATTCATAATGAAAAAAAAACTGCTTCAGGAATAGCTGGAATTCAACTTTTAGTATTATTTTAACTATTTCTGTGGATGATCAACATTGCATAATCACTTCTAAGCAATTTTAAAAATGTTATCATGGTTTTGGCTTCCATTACAATGGAATGAGCAATAAATGCCACAGATTAAGTCCAAATCATATGACAAGATTCTAGTTTTAACCAGCACACAGTCAAGAGAAGACTAAAACTAAGTCCATTCAAGCACAGCAGAGAGGTTTTGATCAAGTTGAAAGACTCTGCCTGTTCAACATACCATGACCTCAAGCAGCAGTTAAACTTGGGAGATCATTCTGTGCTGATGACAAATAAAAATATTTCAAGCATCTAGCCCTAGGCCCAGATTATGCCCAAGATTTACAAGAAAAGGTCAGTTTCAGTTTCTCAAACTCAGTATCAGAGAATTACTGGAAGAATTACTTGTTTAGAAAATATCCCTGAAAACAGAGAACTGAAGTTGCACATGACAGGAAGGCTGTCACTAAAATTCAAGGCAGGTTTCCTCTTTAAATCCAAGACTGACATGTTGCCAAATGCAAATAAAGATTTCATTCCTCGGGGTGGGGGACAACAGGAAGGGAAATGTACAAAGAAACCTGAACAAGACTTGAAAATAATTTTTAGTTCTTCCAAATAACTTTAAATAGAATCTGTGCAGCAAAACAAGCCTTGAAAGCTGCATTTCAGCTGTAAAGTGGTCTGGAGAGTGGTCTGCTTCCTCCAAAGGCTAACATGCCAGTAAACACCGTTTACAGTGATCTTATCATAGCAGTTGAACACGCTGAAAAAGCACTCATTATGACACTCAATTACTTAATCTGCACAGGCATGCGCTCAGCATGCTTGTGACTAAACACTTCTACTTAGGTTACATTCTATTTTAAGGGCTTTCAAGAATTTTGCAGCTGTACTTCAACCTGAGAAGGTCAGATGTGTACAGCCAAAATATCTCATTAACAGTGCACTAGAGGATTGTGCAATTTAAGTAAAGAGGTTTTCCATGTGAACTGCACTCTTGATAGATACAGCAGAAATACAGGGGACGCCTCAACTGTTCATCTCCCTTTCCTAATGCTACCATTTATCCTTAGAGCAGAAGTTACAGAGTGCTGTGTTTTTTGTGGTTGTTTGGGGTTTTTTGAGGGTAATGCAGAAGGACAAGAAAATAAGACTGTGCCATTACTACACAGAAAGGCATAACAGAATGACCCACAGTGTGGGAAGGGGTAGGACACACAAGTAACGAATGACTATGACAGCAATTGTCATATTAGCACCATGTGCATCTGTGACCAGCAACAGAGAAGGGGTTTGGAGGGGGGCAGAAGAGAAAAACGGGATCTGGTAAAGTTAAGGACAAAGACCATAAACAGAAGGAGGAGGGCTGGTGCCCGCTGCTGAGCACATGTGCACTAGAGCTTCTCTGCTGCAATCAATTGCTGCTCTGCAGTCCCCTCGCCTCCTGCTTCAGCTGCACCTTCCCTGTCACTGTACCTGGGGTACAATCTCAAACCCACACCAAGCCATAGCCTGCGACTATGGGGATGGGGACAAGGAAAATGGGAAGAAAAGAGACTCCACCTAAACCCTATGGTCTCACAGTGGAGCAATGACATCTTCACCACACAGTTGCTACCTCAGTCAATTCCCTTCCTCCTCTGCGCATCCGTTCACACAACGATTCAAATTTAACATGTTATTTCTACCTATCCCTTAAAAGTAACTACGCTTTCACACCTGTATGTGAGTCTAAAACATCCATCAATTACCAAGGCTTGCTACCACCTGTAGATTGACCACTTAACATTTCTCAAACTTAATTTGGGAAGGGAAATCAATAAAAAAAGGTCATCTCCCAAAACAATATTAATGCCGTGGTATGAATTACAGGAAATTAAGTCGATATTATATTGTTAATTGTCAGTCAGAAGCAGCTATTTCAGAAGATTAGATTGATTTCACTGGAAGAACCGTTGATATTCCCTGCCTAGACAGTTGTGAAAAATAGTATTGTGCTGACATAACCCACTGAGGGGAATGAAGAGGATAAAAATATCCTGCATCAGCATACCAGGGACTTTAAAACATAAAAGTTAACTAGAAGCAAGACAAAACCTCAACAAAACAAACAAATTAGTGTTTGTTACTGTCAGAGCTGCAACCCACCATATCGTATTGTTGCCCAAAAAGTGGATTCGTGGCCTGGTGTGCAGTAAGTCAATTGTCACACACTCAGGAGTAACCTTGCTTATTTATTTCACTTCTGCGCAGAGATGGGTGCTAGGGGGTAACTCCACAAAGCTAGCATGCCTCGGTTAACTCACAGCAGCATTTTATATACTCAGAGCAACAGTTATCAGTTATTTTTGCAATCACAATCACTTTCATTTCTTATTGGTTATGTATATATAGTCTTGCATTCATTTAAAGCTACAGTATCCTTTCTTTGTACTATGCATGTTCTGTAAGGAAGGGTCTTCACCTGGGCAAGAGTCCTTTGACCTGGGAGTGTGATTTTTAGTATTATAATGAGGGTAGTTCAGTTAAGCATACATGGACCTTGGACTTGCTTGCCAAGTTTCAGATGTTTTCAAAACATGTTGATTAGTTGTCCTTTCCAGGCCTACTTGCTCCAGGATCTTCATTTTCTAAGAATGCTAACTACATTTTTCTGATGACAGATGACTAAGTGTTCTCAGTATTGCTTATCAAACTGTTCTAAACTTCTGAGTTAGCCTTCAACAATATTACACTCTCTTTGTTTGAGATGCAGTAAAAATTTCTTGCAAACACAGAAATAAAAAACAGTCCTACTGAAACAGTGTAACTGTTACTGATTAGCACTTGCCAGCCAACACAGATGAGCATTTCAGAAAGCATACATAGCTACAGTCTATCCCTCTCCCACTCTTCATAAATTGCCTTAAATGTTAGCTGAGCTTGCAGAGAGACAATATGCTCAGTAACCTCTCAAGATCACCATTTTCTTCTTCTCCATCAAAAGACTTGGTTGAAGCGGTGACAGCTATCTGGGCTAGCAGCTAGCCAAAAAGTAAAACTGAATGAGAGTGAGATTTGCTCTCCCTGAAAACAGCAGAGAGGCTGTGAAGTAGGGAGTTACTGCTTTGTCTCCCTGTCAATCAAGTAACAAAACATATTCCATGAAGGCAGCAGCAAATGGAAAGTAGCATTGGAGCTGGCTTCTAACTAACTGCTATAGCTGAAGCCACCACAATTGCTGCGGAGATCAACACAGGACAGGAGTCAAGGGGAAACAGAAAGAAAAGGTGCCATATAAGACAAGAACAGCATCAAAAGAAGGCTTGAGGTAAGGGAAACATCTGTAGTTGTGGAAGACAAGCAGATCTCCCACAACATAAGTTACTGAAGCCAAAACTAGCAAGTTGGGGCGGGGCAGGGGAGGAGGGAAGGAGGACTGGGGTATTTATACAAATATCAACAGTTCAGTCAACCACAGTCAGCAGCTCAAGAAAACCCTAAGTGATGCAAAAATCTTTATTTCAGGATTTAAATCTCATTCTCCAAATACTATCAAAGCTCAAGATGAGACCTGATATGAGAATACACAAGATGTACCTACTGCATGGCGCTTTTGCAGTTCTCTGAAGCAGCCAGTAGCAGTCACTGTCAGAGAAAAAGCTAAAAGGACTGTAGATACAACAATTCCTGTTAAAATGAGCATTTGGTCAAACAAGTACTGGAAGCCCATGAACTGCCCAAAACATTTCTGAGGCAGCTGGGCCAGTCATGCTGCAGCTGAAGGTGCATTTAACAATGAAACATGCAAAGAATTAAACCCATAGCTGATGCAGCCGTAGCTGAATCTGTGAGAATTGGTTCTGAGTGAAGGAATTCTACCTTTGAGTCTTTGCTTGCAGTCAGAGGGTTGCAGAGTAGAGCAGAGCTTTTCCAGGTGCTCGCTCTCTGCACAGTGCATGACAAAGAAGAGCCTCCAAAGCATGTTGCTGGATAAGGTTCCGTAAGGCATCTCGGACATGAATAACCAGACTCCCAACCTGTTGGATTTGAAGAGGCAGACAGAAACAGTTTCACCCTGATAAATCCCAACATTTGAAAAGGAGACATATGCCCACGTCTCTGCCACATAGCAGAGTTAGGAATGTGAGTATCTGCCTTAGCATCTCAAATTCTGAATTAACCTTATCCTGAACTGACCAAGTCCCCAGAGTTGCTGCTGGAATACAGGGCATAATTCCTCCCTATCTGAATACCACCAGTACGCTGAAAAATGCTGCACATTGCAGTCTTGTTTGAAACATTAAGTATTTAAAGCTACTGCAATTCCCAGTTTCAAATATCTAACTGCCCCAAGATTAAGGCAGTATCAATCACATGAACAGCCTACCTTTTTGCCTTCAGGACATGTAGCACAGCTCTAAAAAACAGCTCATCAAACTCCAGTTGCAATTTTTCCACAGAGTAGGGATGCATTACAGATCCATATGGTTTATTGGTGCTAACATATTGGGCCCAGTGGTCACTCACGTGACAAACTGTCATCCTACACAGCAGAACAAACAAGTCGAAGAAGGATCATTAAGAATGTCATGTAAAACACAGACACATGCAACCAGATCAGTCTAGTCACAAGAGACACATTCAACCCTTTGTCCTCTGGTCTCCAGAGATTTCCATATAAATAGTATTACCCTCCCCTCTTCAGACAAGGTTAGTCTAAAATTCCTGTGTTATCCTTCCTTGGTTTTGCAAGCAAACAACGCAAAATGTTCTGTTACACCAAATTAGTTTGTGCATGAACTTTGGAGTCCTAACATAATCCTACATTATGAAATGGCAGTATATGCAAAAAGCTCACACAGGAATAATTATACTGAGAAAATTACTGCTCTAATAACACAAAGAAAAGCACAGATTTTGTTTCTGATTTAACTGTATCTCCCTTGAAAACACACTCATAGGAGCTACATAAAGCGACTGCTACAGATTTAAAAATGAAGAGCAACTCTCAGGTTTCAACTACATTTTCTTACTGCAACAATATGCTCCTCGAAATCAAATTAAAAACCCTAAAACAATTCTGGATAACAACAGAAAGCAAGCAGTAACACTGGTTATAAATAGGGGTGATTCGAGAAACTGGTTTTGGATGTCAGTGTCTTTCTAAGACAAACCTAAGCACATCCCTGATGAAAGGCAGCCTGGTGCTCCACAGCTCACCTGGTTCCTTTGTAGCCACAGAATTTAGACTCTGCAGTTCCCCACTTCAGAGGCATCTTTATAGACAAGGATACTAGGATTTCAGATTCCCAGATCAGGTAACCCTAAACTGACCAACTCTCAGAACAAAAGCTACACAAGAACTGGTTGAGGGGGGATCTGTTTTACATTTTGGGGGGTTGGTTGCAGGTTTTGTGGGCAGGTTGCTTGGGGGTTTTTTGGCAGCTCTGAATTTTAAACCAAACTGTGTGAAAAAGATTTAATCGTATCACAGAGAACATATTCTCTTACTTGATCAGCTGACCAATTCGCTTCACAAACTGTCGGTATCGTGCTCTGTTAAATGTTTCTAACCCCACGGACAGAAGTTCCACTAACGAGTTTGCAAAAGCAAAAATCTTCATCATCTCCTGGGGAGTTGTTTTTTCAGGAAAATAAGCACCTAAGACCAAGACAGAAAAAAGCAAGTCTCAAAAGAGTATGTGAATTCTGGATTTTCTAAGGAACTTAACAAGCACTTAACGGAAGAGTTCACCATATAGCTGGCAAACAGTTCATTGTGAGTTACAGTGAACTGAAATTTGTTTTGTTTCTGATATGGACAACAAATACATCTTAAGTACAAATAATCTATACAGGTCATAAGACATCTAGCAAGCAATTATCTTCATGTACTTGTCCAGATATTTAACAGTATAAAGAATGATCAAATAAATGGGAGGAAAAAAGTTACAGTAACATTACGGCTGAGTGGCAAGGAGGGAAAATTAGTTCTGGAAGTGCATCTGTGAGTATAAACACTAAGCAGATTGAAACTAAGGGAAAGGACTAATGTTTTGCTTGCTAGCATTGCTGTAAGTTTTTAAGTTATTCCATACACTTCAATCTTATTTAGTCTGTGAGCTGTTCCACAAGTTATTACTTCACTCAGAGACTCTCATAACGCAGTATCATTCTTGACAGTTTTAGTCAATAATACAATTAGCGTAAGCAGAATGAAGAATAACTCTTTAGCAGGTGATTTACCTCCAGACTTAAACCCAAGGAACTGCTGAAAGAGTTCATGAAATGGAAACTGTGACAACAGAGAAATCAGGTCATCTTCCGTAAGGAGAATCCAGCTTGTTTCAGGATCTTCATCCTATACATAAATTCAAACAGTCCCTTTTAGTAGCTTTCCAACAAAATACATGGTATAAGGGCTTCATTATCTTATCAATTACAGTTTGCTTCTAAGAATAAAGTACAAGTGAACTCTGCTTTACACATACACAACCTCCTAATCTCCTCTTCTGTGTGTTTCTACAGAAAAGCCGTTACCACCTAGGAAACAGAACTAGAAGCAACACTATGCTAGTCCCATGCAGCTTCTGAAGGGAAACACCTATTCAAACATATGTCTTCTTCCATGCAATACTTCCAATAAATTTAATTGCTATCTGTTAATACTCATTCCTGGGAACTCCACTATCTGTCACAGAGATATGACAGAGCTAAGGAGAGTAAAAGAGATCTAAATTTCAAATTATGCTTTTTAACTGAACAACAGTAAGTTTTTCTTCCTCCATTTCACAAAAATCAATACAACAATCCTAAACAAAAGCACAAATGAAAAAAAGAGCTGTACCTCTTCTCCTCCCTCATCTACCAGGGTCCAGTTTCCAGATTCCTTTCCAGATGAAGAGGAACTTTTCCTTTCACTTGGTTTCATATGACACATGAAGTCCACCCGATTTCTAATTTAAGGTAAAAAAAAAAAATCAAGTTTACAAAAATTAGAAAATTAAAAATTCTGAATTTAGTCATCTTTTGGTTAAAAACAGATATTCACAAACATAAAAACAAGAAATTAACAAGTACTTCAAATATCCTGATGTCCTACAAGATTTGCACTAATCTGTTGTATTTTTGAAGTGATCTTCCAAGCAATATTCTGAACAATGTAAATGGCTATCAGCCCTGTAGAGCAAGCACATTTAAGCATGCAAGAAATAACACTATTCTTTTCCATGTGTAAGAAGAGTCCTTAAAAAAAAAAAGTCATTATTTCAGAAGAGGTACTCTGTCACAGTGAATAGGCTGAGCGCAGGCCAGTTCTACCATACAATTTCCATAGTGGTGTTGGCTGGACACCACCTCAACGCTAGTAAGGCTGGTCTTAGGTACCCTGAGCTACCACAACAAAAGACCTTCCAAGCAAGAGTTGCCTCAAAGCAAGCCAGCTCCAGTTCCATGTAATAGACCACCTTAAGTCTGGAATATTAGTTCTCAGACTGTACCCTACAGAACCCTAGTCATTCAGGGATATAGCAGCAGGTTAAACAAACATGCAGAAAGGTTGTATAAGAAGTTGAAGTCATAACATCCAACTTCCTTCTAACTAGAAATGTTCCAGCAGAACTCTGCACACAGTGCCACAGAACTCCAGCCACAATATCACCCTCCTGATCTCCTCGAACTTACACTCCGGTAACATGAACATATTACAGGTTAAATACAAGTTTTAAGATACTGCTTTCACAAACCAAGTTCAGAATTCAAACTTGTTCCTGACATGCAGCAGCTGCAACAGACACATGTCAGCTCTTTAACAGAAAGTACAGCCATTATGGAGGCTCTGCGTTCTTGTATCAATAGCTGAGCGTGCCACTCCAGGCGCAGTGGATTAGTCCTCCTTGTTCAAAACACAAGCATCAAAACGCACTGACAATACGCATGCCCTCAGGACACACTTGTTTCCCCAAGCAGCTCTAGGCAGGAACTGTAAAAACAAAATCCCATAAAATAATAGCCTCCAATAAATACAACTCCCACTTAACTCAGGGTCAGACTATCAAGATCACAGCGACAACCCTAAATACCAGCAGTTTGATTCTTTCAGTTTAAAATTTGGGTGCGGGGAGGCAAGTTATAGATTTTACCTGAAGCGTATAATAGTTTTCACAAACGATTGATTTCATTAACTATCTTCTCCAAGCACCTTCTATTTCTTCTAGATAATAAAAGGATGAAAAAAAGAAGCAGCACAACCAGCATATACACCAACTTAACAAACCCTTTACTCAAGGGCCTCTGTTGCAGAGAGTATAATAAACAGGCCATCATGCAAGGCAAGAACTTTGTTTCAGAAGTCACAGCAACAAAACATGCAGCTACGTCATTCGTCACAAGCTATTTGACAGCTGAAAGCAAGCTGCATCATTCTGTGCACAGTAGGAGAATGTACTGCCAAGAATGTATTTGAAGATGAATGAGTAAAAAGAGTTTGAATTAAACTATGAGGCTCTTATTTGTGCCTACTTTTATGACTTTGCCTGCAATGAACTTCCAGGGTTTTACAAGTGGATCTTGTGCCATGTTTTCTACTCTTAAATAACCAGAACATATTTATTAAATTGTATTCATAAAATCATATTCATACTTACTTGACAGGAGACATAAGCAAGGCAAGAGATTGCATGAAATGAAAAACACCTGATGGGTTATCCAAGACCTTGATCTGAAATTAAATGCAAAAACCTAAGTAATAAAGGGCAAATTAATTTTATCAGAGAAATTCAAATTCTGAGTTTCACATTTTTCACTTTTTATTCAGACTAAAAAGTATCCATAAAAGATAGTACCCACATCTTGGAGAAAATTATTACTATGGCAAAATTTGGGAGTTGTCCAAAAGAAGTACTTATAGAAATTAAAGGAAGGAAAAAAAAACCTAAAACATCAAAAGCTCCACAAAAAGACAACTTCTCGCTTTGTTTCACATGTACTTCTGGGCACCAGGGGGAATTGGGACATTGACCACAGGGGAATTTAGGATCCTACCATGTCAGGTTAACCATTGGACTCAATGACCTTAAGGGTCACTTCCAACCTAAATGATTCTATGATTCTATTCTATCCTTTTATTTTCATTGCTTGCCTGTCCTCTGTTAGTGTAATTGCAATCCTCTTCCTACAGCTAGATTTCCAACAACCTCCCTTCTTGTAAAGAACATTTTTGCTTCTCCAAGAACACCCTGGTGCCTTTGGATATCTACACTCCCTCTGATCTATACAAAGTGAACCCTTTCCATTACCCTTGAAATTACCTAACTAAAACTTGCTAGAGAAACCAGTCTCATTTCAACATGCAGGGTATAAAAATCTGTTCTTCCTCATCCCTTATACATCACACAGCTGCCTCCAATTTCACTTGTCTCATACAGGGGCTGCTTCAAGTCTAAATATTCCTTCCTTTTCTTGAAGAGCACTCCCAGAACCTGCTGTTGCATGAGGTCTTCTGAGGCACACTGCAAGTCCTTGACTCCCTTTCATGGAGTCTCTCTAGCCAAGAATGAGAAGTGTGTTCCCTTATTAACCTACTCGTGCCTGGACTAATATGATTGAACACAACCCTTGACAAGTCCCTTACTGTTACCATGATTCCACAAACATGGAAACACACAGCAGTCATGAGGGATTGACTAGGTATGAGACACTTTCCTACCCACCACACTCCCACTCCAACTTTCTGACAATAAAGAATTAAACATTCACACCTGAATGAACGGAACAGCCCATTCACTGATCCCAGCTGGACACCGAAGGATGTGGTTGAAGAGGAAGAGATGGTCACCTGGACAACCAATTCTTTGCAACACTGACACCTAAAGGGAAGTACATTGGAATCTTGTAAACAATTTCAAGGTTTATCCCTTTGTAGTCTTACTAACTAGAGTAATAAGTCTTTTTTTTTCATTTCTCTTCCCTTGCTTTCTAACAAACCTCAATTTTCAGAGCAAGTGCCAGGAGAACAATATTTAAAAGTCTGCTTGCTTGGCTTATGAGCCACAAACCGGTTTTTTTTGGTGTAGAAAAACTAATTACTTCACAATTGCATTAAAAACTAATTTATTTAGAAATCACTAAGAGCAGATGTTCCTCAAAAATTACAAGTCTGAATAGTTTTACTTTCAAAATAAGTAAGAGATAATGAATAGTGAGTATTAAGCCCACTTTGAGCAGTGTTGGCTGCTCAGGTTGCACTCCTCATTAATGCGGCTGACCTCCACTGACTTCATCAGACAAGGGAATTCATTCTAATTATTCACTAACAGATTCATCAAGTAGAACAAACCCCCCAAAAATAATTGCATGTGGGACAGTGAGAGAAATACTTTCAGAAATTACTCCCGAATTCATCCCATGTGTTGGATCAAACAGCCATATCCATGCTTACTCCCTCACCAGTCTCTGCAGCCACATGAGAAGGTCACTCTGAAACTGAGGATCTTCGATAACTCTGCGAGTGAAACTGAAAAGGACGCTGATACACTCCTTCAAGTGGCCCAAGTCTGAAGAAAGATTTTCTGACTGCTTTGAAACTGTAAATTAAAACCAGAATTAAGGAGCTTTGGCGAGCAGCTCTGAGAGTATTAGCATAAATAGTGGTTTTGCAGCTATATAGAAAACTTGCTCTCCCTACAGAGATATTTCAAGGCAGCTGCTTGCTATGTCTGACAGAGAAGAATAGTTATCTACAGTACTTAATTTAATCTTATAATTAAGCACTGGACACTAATTACAAGAAGATTATACTATGGTTTCTCTCATAAAAGGCCTTCCCTCAACATAAACTTTGTAAGAACCACCATTTATTATGCATATAAACTATCTGGGAGGTGGGAGGCAAAGGGAGGAGGACTAGGAAGGATAAATATCCAGGGCAGAAAGGGGAGGAATACTTTAGCTAAAAGATGACTTTGGCACAAAACCAAATAAGTAGCACACTTAGGATGAAAACCAAAAAGATCTTGAAGTATTAGAACTGTGCGATCTCAAAAGGCCTTCCAAGAAGAAATAAAGCAGGAAAAATATCCAGCTTGTTTTAGAATCATGCATAATCAGTTGGGAAAAGGGGCTGTATTGTATGTTGCCTTGACAACAAAAAATTGGAGTCCAGGTATCCCATCCCACCCGGTGTTCCTCTACAGTAATCAGTGGCAGTATGCAGCTTAGACAGAAGAAGGTACTCCTGCATTCAGCTTCCACTCTCCAGGTGAATAAGTTAAGAGAATTGGAGTTTTTCCTGTGAGAAAAAAAAGTTTCATTGATCCCTACATAAGACCAGCAGGTTTTAGTGTCAGAGGAGAAACACTCCAGTATACAAATTCCGCCACAAGGCTCGAAAATTGCATGGGAACAAGGTGCTGGGCACCCTAAGCAGCACGGGGAGCAGTCTAGACCACCAACACACCATGTTCTTGCTGCTGAAGAGCCACTGATCTCAGCAGGGATGAGCTGCTGAGCAACCTGTAGACGTATGACTCCACTTGCAACCGGGACAACACTGAAGTGTAGGAGTGCAGTGCCAGTGTCTGATGCACGTGCTCTGCTTTGGCTTCAAACAGCTTTTTGAGTTCCCCCAACACACTTTCATTCATCTCCACTGTCTGGTAGCGGTGGTGACCTGTCACTTTGCATTGATCTGCACAGACACCCTGAAAAGAAAGCAATTATTTTATTTAAGTGACTTTGTCATTTTGTTGGGTCAAGCATGCTTACAGAAATTAACCTCAATACAACCCTCCCCTCAAAAGTGTTCATAAAAGGGGCCACTTCACAGGTCGACACAACATAGATGTCGGAACATCCTACATGCTTTTTAGAGCTGCTGATTACTAAAGATGCATATCCCTGACTTCTGAAAAAGTGATTCTATAAACCCTCAATAACTCAGATCTAGAAATAGACATGACTTGTCTGTATCACTGACAGATGTGAACAAAACCAGGTCTCTACTCCCTCTCAGTTTATAGATTTCCATAAATACTTGGACCTGTTATTTTAAAGCCAAAATACCTACTGAAACAAGATAGATATTTTTCTAAGCTCTCAGAACTGAATATTTATAGCAATTCCTCACTACACTTTTGAAGTTTTCAGAAATGAACTGTACTCTAACTTCTTCCCAAACCGTACTTAAAATCTGAGGGCAGTCTTCCTCTGCCCTATCTCTAATTCTTCAGCACAAGAAAACCACTATACATAACATTCCTATTATTCATTTATGCAACTAGGAAACATGCTTCTATAACAGCATTTTGACAGCTCAGTTTGAAAGTATCCCTGTTTCCTAAGTTAGTAGAACAAGCATTTTAAATTAGCATGAAGACAACAATTATTCTGCATATACAATAAATACACAGTGCATAGGAAGAGAATAAAGCAAGCAGAAAGCTTAGCCAACTGTATGATGATGAGTGGGGATGTAAGAGTAAAGCTAAAATTACTTTCAGTGTAGAAAGTGATCAACACAAAACTGACAGTCCAGTGAGGTTCAGCGATAGAGGTTGTTATTCCCTGGTAAAAAGGAAAATATTAAAATCTGTTCAGTGGATGTCTCTCAATGCCTCAACTCTGAAGAAGCACACAGGAGAGGCGCTGCACTCAGAGAAGCAACAGTAAAAGCCACCACATACATAGGTACTTAGCACCCTTGGACAATTTTGATGATGTGTTGGCTACAAACAGCATCAGAGCACCAGAACAATATCACTCACTCCCACTGTGATGTCCAGCTCCGAGAACATGTTACACAGAATGAGTTTGGGGTGCATGCACCAGAGAGCTCCCCAGACTCCTTTGGTTTGCAGATAGAAATGCTACAGAGCACCATGACCACCCTGGAAGCAGCTAAAACCACAGCACCACTTATGGAGCTATAGTTACTGAAAGTGGATGGGCTTCACAATCCCTGTGCTTTGAGCAATGGGGTTGCCCACGAGCATGACTCAAGCTCCTCTGCAGCTGCTGCCTCCGACAGCAGGACAGTCAGGAATGACATCAATGAAAACTGCCACCACAGGCAGCAGGCCAGATGGGACACCACCACTACAGCCATGCTGAAGTCCTGCTCCACCATGTGTCCCCTGCATCTACCTGACATACTGTGGCACAAACTTCACCCAACACTACCAGCAGAAGTGGCTGTACACGGGCTCACTCTGACTGACTACAAACATGAGTCTGACTCCAAGAGAGATCACCAACAGAGACCCTGCTACCCTACACTTGCCAGAGCTTAAAAACCAAACAATAAACTGTCTTAAATTGCAACAGGATGATACTTTGAAGTACTGGCGATCAGTGGAGAGCGAGCAAAGAAAAGGCTGCCATCTCTTCTAGAGTAAGACAGCTTAAATACAGTAAACTTGACAGCAAGTAAAACTAATATCTAGAATCACATCCAAATAGTTTAGCTTCAAAAGCAGTTTCAGCAACAGCACCTGCACAGTTTTCTGTTCTTCTTTAAAGGTCCATAATCTCCCCTTAATATTTTGGCAGTCTGTCGTCATAGCCTGCAGCTCTGCCTCAGCCAGCAACAGCTGCTTCCTGCAGCGCATGTAGTTCAGGAGCAGTTCATAAAATTCGTGCCTGTCCTGATGAGCAACGCTTTCAAATTCCTCTGCATAGGAGTCAACATTCTCCAACCACGAACACGGCTCAAAAATTTTCAGCTGTTCTCTGGTAAACGGCACCAGTTCTGGTTCATTTGGGAGCTCTGGATACAGCCTTTCGTTGTGCAGCAGCGGTTTAACTGCTATTACAGTTGGTCTCTCAAAGGACAATTCAGCCGTCAAGTTTGGATAAACTGATTTCAACCCCGAACACTGAATACGTGTTTTGGATTTCTCAGAGAGCTGTGAGACACTAAGAGGGAGCTTCTCCGAAGAACAGGCAAGATGTTTTTTAGCATCTTGTACGTTTTCAGTTCCTTTGTCCCATACAAAGTCCACTGCTGTCTGAGAGCCAGCAGCACTGGAATGAAAGGTACTACTCGATAAATCAGAGTTTCTTGATCCGCTAGCAACTGCCTCCACAGGGCTGTGAGGTTTGCCCAACTTGCTTTTTCCGCTCTTCTCAACATCCCCCCCACATTCCTCGTGGGAAGGATCAGCTTTGAACTCTTCTGCATCTGTGGGAGGCCCTAGAGTCACTGCCAAAGAACCTTCATTGGCTGAAGATAAATTACTCTGGGGGATGTTGCACACATCATTTATACTTTTTCCATCCCCTACTTCATCGCTGAGACGAATTTCTGTAAATTCTCCAAGATGTTCTGCTTGCACTTGACTGGCTTGAGAAGACACTTCTGCCACAGGAGGGAGGAAGACATCATCAGACTCTTGCACCTGGGACTCCTCACTACTGTTTTTCTTTTTTTCCTAGGGGGGAAAAAAAAAAAAAAAAAACAAAAAACCACAAACCAAAAAACACATAGCGTCACTTCCAAGTGAATCTCTTGCCCTCGCAACCCAAATCCCACCATCACCAAAACTAGTATTTGTCAACATCACAACTCCAAAAGCCCCTTCTAACACATTAATTTTCATAATATTATAGGTAAAAACAAATGTACAAAACTGTTCCTTGTTCTTTAGCTGCCCTTTGAAGACTGTCTATCAGTGTTTATGTTCTTGGTCAGTTCTTGAACGATGCTTCAACTTTTCTACATAAAAAGCTGTAGGTATCACAGGACAGACTGTTTCATTAACATATACAATAATCAAAGTAACAGGACCCTGGCCTCTAGATAGAGTCACTAGGTTTCACCGAATTACAAAAAAAAGTCACTCTGTGATTCATCTTAAGTTTTACAGAAAAATTTTAGTCAATGGAAAATTATTTTCAAAAAAGTACTTTCAGAACAAAGGAAGTCTGGAATACACACCCTGATTACATTCTAAAGACATCGGAACATCTGTACAATTTCTGAAATATGTATTTTCAGTAGGTATTACACACTAGAGATATAGAAGAACTTAGCAATGACATTAAAATTGTAAACCAATTGCCCATTTTTAAATTAAGATCAGTTTGTGGGTAAGTAGTTCCCATAAACCTAGTCTAAAGTGTAGATTAGCTTTCCTTCCCAAAGCAGAGCAAAGCAAATAATGTTGCGCAGGAAGTCAACAAAGTTTTTGTCAATTTGTAAATCATTTGCTGATTTGTAAACCAAAAAAATTGGCAAAGTGTTTTGCCAATTTGTAAATTGTTTGCGTACACCTACCAGTTTGTTAGAAGTGAAACTGAGAAGAGTTAGGTTACAGTGCTCCAGTTTTAGAAAACCCAGATAATAAAACAAAAAACACAAAATGAAAATAGGAAAAGGTCTCAACACTCCTCCATGACTGGGGAAAAGATGACAGTTTTGAAAATCTGCTGACAGCATCACATAGACTTTCACTAAATATCTGACATGACTTTGCCTTACAAGAGGGCATACAAGAAAACAGCTCAAATCAATGCCCTAGTTAAACTCTACCTCAAGCCTAACTTTACATCGAGCATATGCTCACAGCTCCTTTGCAACATGGCAATGCACTGGCTTTGTTTTCAGGCTGTGTTTCCCAGTACATTAAAAGATTCTGATCTTCTTATCACTTCTGATCACAAAACACTTCAGAGACATTCCAAAGCTTGCTAAAGCTACAGGTGAGGTTAAAAATAGATCAGCCCAATTCTTTAAACTAGGACATGTAGTTATAATAAACACCTCCTGACAGTTAATTCAAAGTCAGTCATTTCCACAGGACACTGTATCACTAGATCCTATTTTTGACAGTGTACTGATCCACAGACTTTACAAACATACCCTGGTCCTTTCCCTTCTACAATCTCAAGGTTCCCTCTCGCAGTCTTCATACAGAAGAAACGCCCTTTATCTTTGAGTAGCATCCTGAATTTCTCCCCAACATAACTCTTCGATAAAAGTTTCTTTAAAATGTATGAAGTGCCTTTCAGTTCTCAGTTTCAAAGGTAAAAAATGTCCCATAATCATTAGCAGGGATTTCATCTGAGAAAGGATGAGAGAAATCAGGTCCTGAATTAACATGAAAGCAAAACCTGCTGTTCTCTCTTCTGAGGGCTTAGCCTTTAAGTCAAAGACAACAGTTGCTCATTAGCCTTGTCCCGTGCCTAATCATTCTCCTCTCCTAGCATGTCAGTGAATGACACCCCAGGCTCTAAGGACACCTACTATTTTTCAGGAAACATCTCTGGGAGAGCCACCCACCAAGATGCGCACAGACACACAGGCTCATCTTCACCTGTTCTAGGTCCACTGGTTTTACCACCTCACCTTGTCTGAGTCAGTCTGGTGTTACTGGTGATGGACAAGCTTAACTTTGGGGCTACTATTTTCAGAAAGCCCTGGGCTCCATTCCACTACTTGGCAGCTCTGCAGCTGAGCCAGCCATTCTCCCAGCTCACAAGAATGTCAGCTTTTCCAAGGATTATGGCTTTTTCTGAGGCATGGGAACAGCAAAGTCCTTAATGTGACTGGGCCCCAAACCGCATTCTCAAACACACCTGCGTATTAACAGAGCTGGGCATAATAACAGCAACAAAAATATCAGGAATGGGCCATGTGTAACACTGAAGGATTCTGGATGTTCACATGTGACATCGCCAGTGAATTGTTTCACAGTGAATTACACCTGGAAGGGACGACCAAAGACAGCAGCAGCTGCTGGAGTCACGGTACACATGTCATTAGTGAACCACCAGCGTCATCTGTGACTCACTCCTTTCCTGCAGGGAACTGATTCTCTTAGGCAGCAGTCTTTAGAGTTAACTGCCTTGCACGTGCTATGGGGCTGAATCAAAACAACAACAATGACGCACTCACTCTTCTGGGATTGCTCTCCCCTCCCATCTTTACTTGCCTTGAGCTCAGGAATCACAGCCACAGTTGATACCTGGATCTAACCCCTGTTTTACAAAGCAGCAGTCAATTAATCCGTTCATTTGTTTTCAGACGGCTTTGCCAGCCATGACTTCAATGCCTTTGCTCTAAGTGGTGCAGTTTACAACACGTAGAGGTTAGGCAATTCAGGGAAACATTTCCATTTTGACCCAACTCTGAGGCGAGATATTTCAGCTCAGATCAGTTCCACAAACCACTGCAATTCTGCATAGCACAGCTGCAAGGAAAGCAAAGCCTTCGGAAAGCTGTGGGTACCAACACCACGAGCAAGGAACACGCTCACCACAGGATTAAAGCCTAGGAGTTGTGATACTTAACAGCTGCAGTACCAACCAATGAATAAGAAACACTGTCGTCTGCACTACACGGCCTCACGTTTTGAGCATTTCAAAGGCAAACCTATATATATATGAGATGCAGTAAGGCTGTAAGGCTGTCACCCCATACGACACTAAAACACTGCTAAATGCTGATAAGCTCAACCGCTCTACGGCTTCACCACAGAGGCAACTCCGGCTGGCTTCACCATGAAGAGCTGCTTGAGAAGGCTGTACGCCCGAAGCATAAAAAGCTGATTTACACCCACTTCACAGCATAAGGCCTATCACGCCCTTCACCTGGCTCCCAATTACTCCAAGTCCTCTCACACCGCTTCGGACAGGCACCGACATTCGTAAGCCTTTTTATAAAAACACACACACACCCCCCTCCCCGACCTCACTGTTTTCAGCAGAGGAGGACAAACAAACGCGGATGTCTAAGCACCGCCCCGAGCAGGCCTCCCTGCCGCCGCTTTAAAAACAAACAAACAAACAAAAAAACAAACCCCGAGCAACCCCAAACAGGAGCCAAAGCCCCTGACCCCAGGCTCTCCTATAAGGATCTGTGGGGAGGCCAGGCTCTCCTATAAGGATGTGTGGGGAGGCCAGTCTCCTCCATAGGGCCTGGGAGGAGGCCAGGCTCTCCTATAAGGACATGGGAGGAGGCCAGGCTCTTCCATAGGGCCTGGGAGGAGGCCAGGCTCTCTTATAAGGATCTGTGGGGAAGCCAGGCTCCTCCATAGGGCCTGGGAGGAGGCCAGGCTCTCCTATAAGGATCTGTGAGGAGGCCAGTCTCCTCCATAGGGCCTGGGAGGAGGCCAGGCTCTCCTATAAGGATCTGTGGGGAGGCCAGGCTCTCCTATAAGGATGTGTGGGGAGGCCAGTCTCCTCCATAGGGCCTGGGAGGAGGCCAGGCTCTCCTATAAGGACATGGGAGGAGGCCAGGCTCTTCCATAGGGCCTGGGAGGAGGCCAGGCTCTCTTATAAGGATCTGTGGGGAAGCCAGGCTCCTCCATAGGGCCTGGGAGGAGGCCAGGCTCTCCTATAAGGATCTGTGAGGAGGCCAGTCTCCTCCATAGGGCCTGGGAGGAGGCCAGGCTCTCCTATAAGGATCTGTGGGGAGGCCAGGCTCTCCTATAAGGATGTGTGGGGAGGCCAGTCTCCTCCATAGGGCCTGGGAGGAGGCCAGGCTCTCCTATAAGGACATGGGAGGAGGCCAGGCTCTTCCATAGGGCCTGGGAGGAGGCCAGGCTCTCTTATAAGGATCTGTGGGGAAGCCAGGCTCCTCCATAGGGCCTGGGAGGAGGCCAGGCTCTCCTATAAGGATCTGTGAGGAGGCCAGTCTCCTCCATAGGGCCTGGGAGGAGGCCAGGCTCTCCTATAAGGATCTGTGGGGAGGCCAGGCTCTCCTATAAGGATGTGTGGGGAGGCCAGTCTCCTCCATAGGGCCTGGGAGGAGGCCAGGCTCTCCTATAAGGACATGGGAGGAGGCCAGGCTCTTCCATAGGGCCTGGGAGGAGGCCAGGCTCTCTTATAAGGATCTGTGGGGAAGCCAGGCTCCTCCATAGGGCCTGGGAGGAGGCCAGGCTCTCCTATAAGGATGTGTGGGGAGGCCAGTCTCCTCCATAGGGCCTGGGAGGAGGCCAGGCTCTCCTATAAGGATCTGTGAGGAGGCCAGTCTCCTCCATAGGGCCTGGGAGGAGGCCAGGCTCTCCTATAAGGATGTGTGGGGAGGCCAGTCTCCTCCATAGGGCCTGGGAGGAGGCCAGGCTCTCCTATAAGGACATGGGAGGAGGCCAGGCTCTTCCATAGGGCCTGGGAGGAGGCCAGGCTCTCTTATAAGGATCTGTGGGGAAGCCAGGCTCCTCCATAGGGCCTGGGAGGAGGCCAGGCTCTCCTATAAGGATCTGTGAGGAGGCCAGTCTCCTCCATAGGGCCTGGGAGGAGGCCAGGCTCTCCTATAAGGATCTGTGAGGAGGCCAGTCTCCTCCATAGGGCCTGGGAGGAGGCCAGGCTCTCCTATAAGGATCTGTGGGGAGGCCAGGCTCTCCTATAAGGATCTGTGAGGAGGCCAGTCTCCTCCATAGGGCCTGGGAGGAGGCCAGGCTCTCCTATAAGGATGTGTGGGGAGGCCAGTCTCCTCCATACGGCCTGGGAGGAGGCCAGGCTCTCCTATAAGGAGCTGCGGGGAAGCAAGGCCACTGCTAGAGGCAATGCAGTGTGAGAAGCCAAGCCTCTGCTATGGAGGATGGAGAGCGTGAGGTTTCTTCTAACTGCGCCATGCCAGGACCTGGAAGTGCCATTGGACTGGGGCAGCCTGTCCTGCAGCGCCTCAGGCACCTCCAGCCACAGCAGGGCTGCTGGCTCAGCCTCCGGGGGCCCAGCACCACTGCCCCTTCTGACCCCTGCCCCAGCACCCAGCTGTCCTCAAATGTCATGGATGGAGTGAGGGGGAGAGGCAAAAACATAGTTTATTGATACAAAATGGTGCATTAAAGTTCAATGGCAAATGCAACAGCGGTTTATAAGATTTGATGACAAGGTACGCTTGGTTATTTACTGCACAGAGGACAGGGTCAGACAAAACTGCCAGGGAGACCCTCCCATTGAGTCATGAGGTTCAGAAAAGATCCCCTTGCCTTCTAAATCCCTTCCTCAGAGAGGAGTCTGGGTGCAGCTGGATCCAATCCTAGTCCCAGGCTTGGTCTGTGGTTTATGTCTAAAGGATTATATACGCACAATCAATCCTTTATGTCACTTAGCTAAGGTTTCAGAGTTAGCATGCTGTTTGCCACTCACCGAGAATCTGTTGCTGCAAGGAATCTCTCAACCTCGAGGAGCGACCCTGAGAGGCGTCCCTGCTCAAGGGGAGATCCTGGCATGCAGCCCACTGCTGTGCAGGAGAGCTCCAAGGGCTCTGGGGCTGCTCACTATTGGAGGGGTTAAGGTGACTGGCTCGTAGTCATGTTTGGATACCCACCACAGATTTTAGTTCCTTCATTGTGCTTAGGTGGGCACATTGCCCTTGGCTATTGTGGTGTTACCTGTCTTCCCCCACATCCATGTTGAGCTGCATGCATCCATCGCAACCAGATGCACCCATCATGACCACCACTGGTGGTTATCTTTTGAGCAGGGTCACAGGAAGAATGTGGGGCTGGGAGGGAACACACAGTCACGCCAGGGAGCCATGGCTGGATCAGAAGCGACTTCTCCCAGACCCCAGACAGATGAGACCCTGCAGAGCTCAGGCCTACCACGCAGAAGACCTCATAGTGGAGGAGTTAATGATCTTGAACAGGCAACGTCCCCTCTGTTGGACGTTGTACTTAGGGCTGGAGAAGCCCGTATGTTATAATTGTAATTTAAAATATCTAAGGGAAAGGTAAACTTGGGTCAAGGTGGGGATGCGTTAATCCTGACTGGGAGCTTGCTGCACCTTGAGGAGCCAGCAATCCCCTTGGCAGGCGCGGGGCTCTGCTGCACAAGCCCCCTGGCCGCAAGAAGAGCTGG